CGGTCGACCTGTGTACAGGGCCTTCCAGGCCACCAGCCTCAGGACCCTCTGGATCCCTCCTGCCTGACCCCCCCCAGGGACACTCCGTGTTCAGAGCCTCCCAAGTCACCCTACTGAGCCATCCTGCCCAGTCCCCCCACTTCCATGTACCCAGTCTCCCAGCTTCAGCGCCACCAGTGAGCATATCCGCCTGACTTCCCTTCACCCCGCCCCCCCCATCTTGTTGGGGTCATATCTACGGGCACAACCTACCGGCTCTTGGACTCGGCTTCCCCAGACTCAGTCACCCCTGTGTGCATTCTCCCAAGATCCTAGCTTCAGCTTCTCCAAACTAAGCCCTGCCCGCAAGCCCTCTCCCCCTCCATGTAAATCACCTGCCAGGTTCTTAAGCCAGGTCCTCCTGAGGGTACCTCCAGTGTTATAGCCTGTCCCCTTCATCATCCCCTCTCAGGTTCCCACCAGGATCCTACTCCCATAGGTACAGCTTCTCAAACTACACCCAAAGGACCCCTCCTGGGCCCCTCCTTCAGTGCTCCAGTGTTACAACATCCTAGGTTCAAATACTGACTGATATTTGGACCTGTGGCCTCTGGACAAGTTACTTAACCTTTTAGTTCCCTCATCTATAAAACTAAGGCATTACAGGAGAAAGTCTAAGGTTCCTCCCTGCTCCAAATCATAGATCTTGTTCATCTGACTTTCTCTTCCTTTAATCTGTTAGCCCCCACCCCCTTTCCCTTCTGAATCCAGGAAAGTTACCCCAGTTGTATACAACATTCCAAGTCCTTCCAAAGAAAAATCCCCATCTTGATCTAACCCTTCTAGTCAAACTACTAATGAAGCTGTAAAAATGGAATATAAACATTTGTGAGGAAAAATAATGGTTCCTCAGCTGGCCTTGCAAACACTACCACCACCCCCTAAACAAATAAAAATGTCAACATCCTGCTAGGTGGCCCTATCGTTAGAGCACTGAGCTAGGAATCATGAGTCAGGAATACTCATTTTCATGAGTTCCAGTCTCGCCTCAGATACTTACTAGCATTGTGACCCTGGGCTAGTCACTTCACCTTGTCTGTCTCAGTTTCCTCATCTGTAAAATGAACTGGAGAAGGAAATGGCAAACCACTCCAGTATCTTTACCAAGAAAACCCCAAAATAGGGTCATGAAGAGTTGGATATGACTGAAACTACTGGACAGAGCAGCAGCAATAGCCCCCTGGGGCCACAGTCCCAAACAGGTTTCCATGTCTAAGCCTCCAAGCTCAGCAAACTCCAGACAGAATCTTACTGTGTAACCTCCCCAGGCTCCCCCAGGCCCTCTGCCCCAGGTTCCCTTTTACAGAAAACCTCCCTGTCTAGCCTCTGTATAAGACTGTCCCTCCTCAGCCTTTCCAGAGAAAACCCTCTATCCCAGTCCCTCCTTGGCCCTGTCTCCCCACCGTCCATCCCACTTCAGCCCAGGCCTGCCCTCCCCCCTGTCCAGATGGTCCTGCTTCACCTCTGCTCTAGAATGGGGCTTCTCTTTCTGGAAGGCATTTGTCCTTGGTTTGGACCATGGCATTACTGATGAGAGTACAGTGGGAGCTGGGACTCAAGGAACTCCCCTGGGTGACTAAAGAAGAATCAAGGCAGCCCCTAAAATAGCTGTTCTCAGCCTTGGACAGATAGACTCTGCACAGATGGTACAGAGAATGGTGCTTCCCTCTTTGGGATGAGAGGAGGGGTGGTAGGGGAGGAATTTGTATTTTTGGATTTTCCCCATGGTATTCCACCTTGTTTTACTTTCCTGTTCTGCCATCCCATCTCTTTAAACTAGGTCAGACTCTGCCCTCCAAGAGGCTACGTGTTTTTCCCAGAGTTTAAAGGTTAGGGAAATTCCAGTAAAGGATACTGTTATTTTTGGGAGGAGCCTGAGGAAAGGGTGGGAAGGCTAAGGGGAGAAGCCTGGTCTCACCTGTGCTCTGGACAGAGGCTCTCTGGGATTTCCCTTCGGTGCCCAACTTCCACATTCTTTTTTGATCTCTCCCCCAGTGGTGAAACGGAGGCTCGTGAAGCTGGTGGTGAATTTCCTCTTTTATTTCCGGACAGATGAAGCAGAGGTAGGAGGATCCTGGGCCATGGTCTGTGATAATATACAGTCGCTTCCAAGGGCTTCCCCATCTATGGAGTTTCTAAGCGGGGGGGACCTTTGCACCTAGAACATTTTGATCTGGAAGAAATCGTAGCAATAATATAGTCTAATTCAGCGTGTCAAATATTCGGCCCATAACACTCCTGAGTGGGGCCCCATCTAGATTAAAATATAATTGGGGAATACTGAAAAAAATAAATAAAAATACAGTACAATATAGATAATGTTACTATATGGTTTTCTAAGTCGATATGTGACTCAGATGGATTCTTAGGTATACTATTTCTACTTGAGTTTGACACCTTTCCCCCATTTGATAGATGAGGAAACTGAGGTAACAAAGAGTGACTTCACCAACATCCCCCAGTGAGATAGTGATTGAGCTAGAACGTGGTCCCACAGGAAGGGCTTTTCCCACTGCTGGCTCTTGCCACCCCTCTGGTTATTATTTCACGTGCTACTCACACCACACCCGGCGGAACAGGAAGCTTCAGTCAGTCAGATTACACGAGAGGCTCAAAGTGTCACAGCCCAGTGATGGCAGAAGGAGGACCATCAGCCAGTCAGCCAACAAGGATTCATCTGCTTGGTGACAGGTACTTAGGTTACAAGGACAAAGAAGGAAACAGCAGCTCACATTCTGGTGGGGGAGACAAAAAGTACATTTAAAATATAACGTGAGTAAATACAAATATATGTAGGGTAGTCAAATGCGCAGTAGTTTGGGAGGGGAGTCCCTGGCATTTGGGGAGATCAGCAAAGGCTTCGTGCAGAAGATGATGATTAAGCTGCATCTTAAGGAAGAGGGGGACTTTTATGGGGCCAGGATGAGGGAGTACATTCTAAGGAGGGGGCTTTCAGTGCAAAGGCATGAAGATTGGAGATGGAGAGGTGTGGAGAATAGATAGAGGGCCAGTGTGGCTGAATCACAAGTGTGGAAAGGGGAGTCACTTGCAACAAAACTGAAAATAGAGAGTGGAACCAGGTTGTATAGGACTTTAAAAACTAAATAAAGGAGTTTATATTGGACTGTAGAGCCACTAGAAGTGGTGAAATAGGGGAATCACATTGGCACTTTAAGGAGAATTACCCTGGCAAACAGTGCACAGGGCAGAGTGCGTTGGGGAGAGGTTTGAGGCACAGAGTCCAATTAGGGGCTGCTGTAATAATTTTGGAGAGATGTGATGAGAGCCTAAAGGAGAGATGTTGTAAAAGTAGAAAGGGCAAAATTTGGTAACTGATTAGATATGTGAGATGAGGATGAGCGAGGAGTCCAGGAGGCTGCTGGGAGACTGGAAGGCTGATGGTATCTTCCACAGACAGGGAAATTTGGAAAGAGGGAAGGGTTTAGTCCAGGGGCAGGGAACCTTTGGCCTCGAGGCCACATGTGGCCTTCTAGGTCCTCAAGTGCAGCCCTTTGGTGGAATCCAAACTTCACAGAACAAATCCCTTTCTTGGGGATTTGTTCTGTAAAACTTGGACTCAGTCAAAAGGCCGAACCCAAGGACCTGGAAGGCCACATGTGGCCTCAAAGCCACAGGTTCTTCACCCCTGGTTTAGGGCAACAAGTTCTTGACATTTTTTGTGTTACAGATCTCTTAGAATAATGGTTTTAAGTGCGTAAAATAAAATAAAAGGATTGCAGAAGAAATCAGCTATACTGAAATATAGTTATCAAAATATTTTTTTAAAAAAGTTGATCGACCCCAGGTTAAGAACCCCTTGTGTGGGGAGAAGGATAATGAGTTCACTTGTAGATGTGTTGAGATGAAGCTGTCTCTGGCACATTCGGTTTGAAATGTCCATTAGGCAATTGGTGATGCATGATTGAAGCTCGGAAGAGATTGGGGCCGGAGGTATAGACGTAGGAGTCATCTGCAGAGCGATGGAGGAGCTAAACACCCACACGGGGCGGGGGGGGGGTGTGATGCGGACGATGAGCTAAGGAGACTGAGGAGGTGCGGTCAGGCAGGTAGGAGACAAGTCAGGAGTGTCTGGAAAACTAGGAGAGGAGGGAATACCCAGGAAGAAAGGGTGGCCAGCCGCGTCACATGCAACAGATAGGTCAAGAAGGATGAGGATTGGCGCAGTGGATAGAGCACCGGGCTCTCAAATCAGGAGGACCCGAGTTCAAATCCTACCTCAGACACTTGATACTCCGATGCAAATACTTGATGCAGATACTCAGATATAAGCTGTGTGATCCTGGGCAAGTCACTTAATCCCAACTGCCTTGACAAAAAAAAAAAAACACCATCGTATTTGACTTTAATCTGTTGCTGTTCAGTCGTTTTCAGTCACGTCCAACTCTTTGTGACCCCATTCAGGGTTTTCTTGGCAAAGATACTGGAGTGGTTTGCCATTTCCTTCCCCAGCTCATTTTACAGATGAGGAAGCTGAGGCAAACAGGGTTAAGCGACTTGCCCAGGATCACACAGCTAGTAAGTGTCTGAGGCCGGATTTGAACTCAGATCTTTATAAGTTCAGGCTCAGTGGCCACCTAGCTGTATCTATAGTTTATAGTTTATTGACTATTGATTCAGCAATTAAGAAATCATGATAAGATTGGAGAGAACTGTTTCATTTGAGCAGTGTGGTTAGAAACCATATTAAGAGGTGACTAAGGACGAGGAGAGAAGAGGAAGTACTAAGTAGACTGATTTTTCAAAGAGTTTGAGAAAGAGAGCAAAGATAAAGGTGATAGATAGCTTGAGGGTGTGGTAGGGTGTGTGAAAGTTTCATAAGTATGGGAAACCTTGGCCATGTCTGAACGGAGTAAGGAAGGAACCATTGGACATGCAAAGGTTGAAAAATTGAGGGAGAGATGATTGAGGATAAAATCTTCGGGGGGCGAACAGGAGGGGCTGGGGTCAAGGGAACACCCTGGGAAGGAGAAGGGCCCCCTCTTTGTCCAAGACGGAGGGAGAGGAGGAAGAGAGGGGAAGTGATGTCTAGGGGGTTTCCAATGAAAAGAGTGGGAGGAGGAGACACTGCCATAGTAGTGCAGAAAGTAAAGTGAGAGGCAGGTCCTCATGAGAGAGGGCAGGGAGGGTGCAGGAGAGAAGAGAAGGCCTGGGAAAGCTGTCAGCGCTTCTTCCTTTAAACCGTGGGCTAGAGCAAGCTGTCAAAGGTTCTGAAAGTGGAACTTGTGAACTTGTGTGTGTGTGGGGGGCTGTTTGTTTCTTTTTTGTTGTTATAACTGTTTCAGCATGATCGCTTTGCTTTGTCATCCTGTGGTTTTTATTTTATTCAGTTAAAAACATCATTTTGCAAGGGGCTCCAAAGTCTTTGCCAGATGACCAAACACAAAAAATCATAACAAAAAAAAAAGATTGAAATTCCTTGTTTTATATAGTCTCAGCTGCCACCCAAGCAGCCCCTTGAAGACAGTTTTTAAAAGTAGGAAGAATTGGGCAGCTGGGTGGTGCAGTGGATAGAGCTCTGGCCTTGAAGTCAGAAGGACCTGAGTTCAAATACAATCTCAGACATACAGTACACAACATGTACTAGCTGTGTGACCCTGGGCAAGTCACTTAACCCCAATTCCCTAGCAAAAAGTTAAAAAAAAAAAAAAAGTAGGAAGAATTTCCTCAATGTGCACAGTGAAAATATTTCTGAAAGTAAAGGACCCCTGGAAACTTCTCCCTGGAGCTAGATGTTTTTTAACTTATACAGTTGAAAGGTCCACTTGGGGCAGGCTTACTTGTCTGTCGGGTCGGGGTTGATCCACACCCACCCCAGGTCTGGGGCTGTGTCCTAGAGAAGACATCTCTAGCAAGGGATTCTAGATGCTGCAGCTGGAGCAGCCGTAGGCAGCACCCGGTGGTGGACCCGGGTGGGGAGGACAAGGGCTGTGGAACACCTTGAGGCCCTGTACAGATGGAATAGCACAGATGTGAGCCGGAAGAGATCTGAGAAGTCGCGTATTCCAAACCTCTGATTTTTCCCATAAGGAGACTGAAGCCAGAGAGGTTAAGTGCCAGGGGGTGAATGTCCCGAGGCAGGCCCTCAGAGGCTAGACCCCGAGCTCTTCACTGCCTTAGGGCTTGCTCTGAGCCACCCTCACACACAGGCTTCTTTTCTCAGAAGAAATGAGGTTCCAGTGAAGCATGCCAAGTTCTTCGAGGCCAGTGATTTCATTTTTGTGTGCCCCTCGTCCTTCACCTGGGGATCCTAATTTCAGAGGCTTGGAGCTGGGAGGGCCCTCAAGGAGGCCCAGTCGAGTGACTTCCCACAGGGGTAGTCTTCAGTGGCAGAATCAGGGTTTGAACCTGGGGTGTCTCCCTCCAGATGGGGTAGGGCGTCGTAGCAGCGCTGCCTTGGAGGAAAATGAACCTCCCTTTAGGGATTGGGTCCTGGCCGTGTCGTGAGACACCGGTGACGCGGGACTGCCTCTCACCCAGTCCTCTCTCCTAAGTCACCCCAGGCTGCCTCATGGCAGGAGCTTAAAGGGGCAGAAGGGAGTCATTGAGAGATGGGGATGATGAGCTTAATTCTATTTCTACCATGATGATGGGTGGGCATTTTTATTTTAGCATTTCCTGGAAGTACCACCTAGAAAATTTCTGACCTGGGGGGACTTTAAAGATGGGGAAATAGGCCAAGAAAAGAGAAATTATTTGCCCAAGGTCTCAGAACAAGGTCGTGGCAGTTCTGGGGCCGTCCAGCTCCCAGCTCATTGCTTTTTTCCCCATGATCCACGGCTTCCTTTTTATCTGCTGCATCCCGGCATTCTCAGTGAGTCACTGGGATCCAGCCAGCTTCTCCTCTGGGCTACCTCCCCACTTCCCTAGGGTAGTTCTAGGTCACAGGAGAATATGTGTTAATCGGTGACTCTAGGGGATGGACCTGGTACAAGGAAACCCAAGTCAGTTAGTAATCAACAAGTGTTAAGAACCTGTTGTGTGCTGGGTGCCAGTATTATCAGAGGTGTAGCAAAAAAGACACTAAATTTAGACCTGAAGTCCTAAGTTTGAACCTGCCAGCTGATTGACCCTTCACAAAACTCTCTGGACATGAATTTCCTCTTCTGAAAAATGAGCAGGTGGGGCTAGATGACCTCAAAGGTCCCCTTTACCTCTGGAAAGCTCCAGGAGGTGGCCGAGTACTGACCCACAGCCCTATTTTCAGGCTCCTTCTCTCCCGCTTAGAATGCCTCCCACTCCCCCTCCCCCTCATCCCTGGGCTGTACGACCCTGAGGGTGGAAGCCAGGTCCATTTTTGTTCCACAGTTAATAACCTCTGGTCTGAAGCTTTTCATTGGCACTGGGTGGGGCAGATCCAGTGCCTGCCCTGGAGGCCTGCTCGATTGACAGTAATAAGGTCCTCGCCCTGCTGTCTCTCCCAGCCTCAGTGTCTTCATCTGTCAAATATGGAAACTAACCACTGGGACAGAATAAGAGCCCAGTTGAGGTAGAAAACCTGGGTTTGCTTCCTGGCTGGGCCACTTCTGTTAGTCTCAGCTTCCCCGCCTCTGGCAGCGCCAGAGGCTCAGACCTTCCGGGGTGTTGTGAGGGTGAGGACGAGGGCTGTGGAACACCTTGAGGCCCTGTACAGATGGAATGACTCCTTGTTTTCCTCCTGGATTGTGGGTCCTCAGCTCAGGTGCTTAGCTTAGCTTCCTCCTTTTCTACTGTTCTGTCTTGCCAGCCTATCGGAGCCCTGCTTCTGGAGCACTGCCGGATTGCCGAGGAAGAGCCAAGTGTCTTCTCTATCAGTGAGTCTGGAAGGAGGGGTGTTGTTAAGACACCGGGGGAGGGACCCAGAGGGTCCTGGAACCCCCTGGCGCCTGCCCCTTTGGCTCCTCAGTCTGATAAACGTGGGGGCAAGAACAGGGCCAGGGAAGGCTCTCTAACCCTAGGGAAGGGCAGTGCAGGGCCCTCGGTTTCCTCTTGGCCATTCTGGGGTCCCCCAGCTGCCTGGCAGCAGAAGAGGAACTGAACTGCTTGAGCCCCACCCCTCCCCTAGCATTGTCCCAACCTCAGAAGCCTCCTCTGCTCAGGCATCTGAGAAAGGGGGTGGGCTGGGGACCCTGGCCCCAGCCCAGCATTTTCTTCTCCAGCCCCTCCTCACACCTAGCCCAGGCTGCTCTGCCTGGGTGGCTTGACCTTGTGATAGCAGAGGCTCCAGACTGGCTCCTCCCAGCCCTCCTGAGGAACAAGTGCCCTTTGTTTGAGTGCTCACCGCACCCAGGGCCCTTCCTCGGCTCAAGGTTAGCCTGAGCTCTCAGCCTTGGCCTGCTGCAGCTGGCACACCCACCTGGAGATCTCCTCTTGCCCCCTTGGCTTAAACCTTTGTAGGGACTCACCTCATTTCCCAGTCCTGTCATCAGGAGGGCAAGTAGCTGTTCCCTCCACTTACCACCTGTGATAATGCCTTTTCTCTGCCACCAGATTTTATCCTTTTGTAGGAGGTGCCCAGTCTGACGGCCCACCATACAATAAAGCTGGCCTGTCACGCAGGCTGCAAAGCTGCCATGGTGTAAGGAGGGTGGGGCAGGGACAGTCAGGGTTCAAAGTCAGGAGTGCCTCGGGCAAATCATGTCCCCTTCTCTGGTGCCCCCTTCTCTGAGGGCATTGGACTATATCACTTCCAAGGCCTCTTCCAGCTCTGAAATCTCTGATCTGAAGACCATTCCCACAGAGAGCTGAAATTCTACCTTTTAAGCCTTTCCTTTGGGCCGAGCGGTGCCTTTTTCTAGGTCCCTTTTTTACAGTAAAGCTATACTGGAAGGGAAATTTGTGGAGTCCTTCATCCTGTAAGGTGAGTTTAGGCATAGAATGTTGATTCGGAAGTCATCTACCCCAACACCTATGTAGATTCTGAACTATATTCGGTGACATCTCTGGAATACCAGCAGGGACAGGGAGTTCACTGCCCCCCTTATCTAGCCTCACGAGCAGGGTTTTTGCTGTTCTTACTGCTTCCTCCCAACCCAAACAGCAAGTCTTTTCCCAGGGACAGCCCAGCCACCATCCTTCCCCAAAGTCTTCCCTTCCTCAGGCTAAACACTCTCACTTCCTTTCATGGTGCTTGAACCCTCCTGGTCTCATCTCCATGGGGGCCTTTCTGAACAATCATGCCCCAAATCAAACATAGTGCTCCTGGGAAGGGCAGAAGCCAGAGTACAAAGAAAACCATTGGGTCCCTCAGTGTGGACGTGAGATTTCTACTTTTGCAGCCTTTTGATCACCTCACACTGCTGACTCCTAGAGCAGGCGGTTCATTAAAATATTCAAGTTTGTCTAGGCACATCTCCACCGTCCTTTACGTTTGAAGTTGATTTTTTCAAACTCACCTGTAGGTCTTTTTTCCCTGTTAAATGTCATCTTGCTGACGATGTCTGTCTACAGCGTTACTCCCATCTACTAGTCTTGTAACCCTTTCTTTTTTTCCTTCTCACTTACTATTTATTTATTTTTAGCAGTCTTTTCTTTTTAAATTTTGAGTTCCAAATTCTCTCTCCCCCTCCTACCCCTTCCCGACCCACTGAGAAGGCAAGCAATATGCCATCAATCATACATGTGAAATCTATCCAAAACATGTTTCTCTGTTAGCCAAATCATTTCATTTTAAAAAGGAAAGAAAGCAAGAAAATTCGACTTCAGTTTGCCCTCAGAGTTGAGCAGTTCTCTCTGCAGGTGGATAGCATTTTTGATCATGGGTCCTTTGGAGTTGCCTTGGATCATTGTATTGACCAGAGTAACCAAGTCTTTTACAGTGGATCATTACAACTTTGCTATTATTGTGCACAATGATCTCTGGGTTCTTTTTCTAGTAACTCTTTCAGAAATGTTAATGAGATTGGAGTAGAATGGTTTGTCCTTGATGAACCCACCATGTTGTCTCTCAGGGATGACCATTTCGCTGTCTCACAAATTATCCTTGTAATAAAGAATTCTGGAATTTGGTCAGAGGTCCAAGTCTAGCTCACCACGTTGGATTTTTTAAGTATCTTCCTGCTCTTCTTTTTGGAAAATCAGGCTATTTGCCCATCTCCAGGCCTAGAGCACTCCTCTCATTGTCCATGACTTCCAAGATGGGCAGCAGTAGTTTGGTAAGCAAATGCTTTCATTTCTGGGATGCAGTTCATTTGTACCAATGACCTGAATTCATTAAGAATATCATCTCCTCACTTGTCCCAAACTTCAGTTCTGTTCATTTTTGTTCTACCCTTCCCAGTCCAAAGAGTCTGCTTTGTAGAGGAAACAGGACAAAAATAGGAGTGAAGTAGTTGTATCTCACTGTTCTCAAACCATTATCTTCCCAGCTATGAGAATCAGGGGTCGGAGGATGCCAGGAAAGGTCAAGGATCCTATTCCTTCTTTAATCTTCTTGTCTCTATCCTAGCTTAAAAAGGCCATTTTTGTTTTCCTCTGCATATGTTTACAGGACTATACTGCCGCTCCTGTTTCCTCCTAGTTCCCCATGCTGTATCCCTTATATTTGTCACTGATGAATAAAAGTTCATCGTTCAACCACATTTGTTTTTAAGCCCTCTTCCCTTCTCTTTTTTGTGACCAGGTGTGATTGGTTCACCAAATTGTAGTGTGGGGCCCCTCTCATGCTGAATTACACTTTGAGAGTCTCTGGCTCATCCTAACTCTTTGGAAGCTAAGCCCTCAAGTCGAGGGCATGAATTAGCATGCCCAGCCTGCCATGGTTATCTCCACTTTAAGGACCAGTCCTTGAAAGATGAGAATCAAGTCTAGAACAGCCATGTTCCCTGCATTGTTTCCTCTCTTCCCCGAAAGAGGGGATTGCCCTTCAGGCCAGTGAGGCCTCTTCTCAGCTGCTCAGCTGCTTTTCAGAGAGAGACCTTTCCATGTCTAGATAGGTGAAGGCCCCTGTCATCACCCCGCCTCTTGTGCCTGTACTCCAGTCCTGGCTACCCACAGAATGCAGACATTCTTGTTCAGGCACTGGGAAGGGGGCAGGAAAATGAAAGTGGGATGAGGCAAGTTTTATGGGTGGCTTCCCCCAGCCACTGGCTTCTGCTGGTTGTCCCAGGGTGGTCCCCTACAGCCAGGGGTTTCCTGTTGGCTCGTCCCCAGCTCAGAGAGCCCTCTCTCTTTTGCCATACAGGTTTCATTGAGGAACCCGACAGGAAGTACTACTTTGAGTGCAGCAGTGAGGAACAATGCCAGGAGTGGATTGATGCCCTGAGGAGAGCGAGGTAGGTTTTGGGGATGAGTGAAGAGACACCTGGTGTAGAGTTCCTGGTAGTCCTCTAGGCTTTGACTAACTTAGTGGGCATTATAGAATGAGCATTTCCTGTGAACAGAGGATATTCTGAAGGAGGGGAGCTGGGGGGATGGAGAGGGCAGGAAAAAGAGGGGACGGGTGCCCCAGTCTGAAGGGAGCAGACAGGCAGACACAGGCTGAAGATTTGTGTCCTCTGGGCACCTTTCCCTCTGAGACTGCCTGATGTTGTCTGATTGAAGATGCCTCAGTGCCTCATGGAGGTGTGTGGACATAGGCATTTCCCTTTCTGGTATTAAGGCATCCTCTTCTGCTAAGCAATAAACAGCCTCCCTGACTCCCCTTCTTTGTGCTTCTCACTTCCCAGCTATGAGTTCATGCGGAGAAGTCTCATCTTTTATAGGAATGAGATCCAGAAGATGACGGGAAAGGTGAATATTCCAGCAAAGGACCTCATCCTCTTGAGATCCAGGTTTCTGATACACCTGGATCTTAGTTGTGAGGTCAGGGGTTTAAGGCCTTCTCGAAATAGTGGGGATAGGATAACATGAGGGACCAAGGCTGTGGCTCCTAAGGCCCAGAGGAGGGGCTGTGCCCCTGGACACAGTCACAATCACCTTTGTCTAGGTTCTGGCAAACCTACCCAGCCTCCATGTTCTCCCACCCCACCCTGCTCCAGGAGCCTATTACCACCCTGACAATTTCAGCAACCTCAGTACCCTTTATAGACTATTTCTGAAAGTTTATTTTGGCCTTCATTTACAAAGGGGAAACTGATAGTGAGATTTCTAACTCCATCCTCCCCCACCCTCATCCCTGTCCCCAGGCTCAGCATGGAAACAACTGTACTGATGACCTACTTGATGAAAAATGAGTCCCTTCTGCCCCTCACAGCTGGGCCTATAGAATAGAACTCGGGGGGTGCTCCTTCAAGACTCTTTTCTCCCCCCTCAGGACCCCTTGGAGCAGTACGGTATCTCCGAAGAGGCCAGGTTCCAGCTGAATACGCACCAGGCATGAGCATCAGTCCTAAGAAAGAAGTCCGCCTTGCTCTACTCCCTGCCAGTGTTCACCCTAGTGACTATTGGGGGATTGGGGGGGAGGGAAGGGGGAGAAAAGGAGAAGAACGGATTTACAGACCTCAGGCCTCCTACAGCAGAAGACCTCACCCCGGGACTGGCAATGGGCTGCCTGGATTGTTTCAACAAGATCTGGGCCCAGAGGAAGGAAGGGAATGAAATGTACTTTTTCTTCTCTGGTTGAAAAAAGTAATCAAGGACTAGAGGTAGGGCTCTTTCAAGAATGCCTTCACTGGAGCCGGGCAGAGTGGTCCCCAGGCTTAAGGGCTGCAGCTGGGGTCTCAAACCAAGGGATGGGGCCGAGCATCAGTCTTCTTGGACAGTGTTTCCATGGCCTCTGTAGGTGAATGCAGACAGTGTGGAAGGGGGAAGGAAGCCATTAATGAGCTTGGTGCTGCTGTGGAAGTTGTCCTTCAAGCCCTGGTTCGTAAAGGCCCCTTCCGTCCCTTCCCAGCATAAACCTGCTTTCCTCTTATCCCCTGGCCCTAGAGGCTGTACCGAGTCAGTGATGTGGCCCTGGATAAGTCATTTATCTATAAAAGGAGGGTAGACTAGCTGATCTCTTCTGAGGTGTCATGCCATTTGGGTAAGAAGTGTGAGAGGAAAGGGTAGAGCAAACCTAGCAAAAGGCTCTTGGGATGCTGGGGGCTACCTTCTACCCTGGAAGCTGGTTTCTGTAAAGTATAAGTCAAGCCTCCGCTAACCCTGTTGGGCCATTTCTGACATAGCCAGAAACTTAGAAGGGGATGCTACAGTTTGAGCAAAGTAAACAAGCCTTGTGTTGGCCTCTGTCCTCCACTGGCTTCATAAGCCAAAGGAGTGAGGGTAATCCAGGGAGCAGGTGAGAGAGAACACACCCTGGGATTTCATTACCCAGACCTGCCTGAAGATGGCCTTGAGCCAGAGGACGCTGGCCCCTGCCCAGGCTTTTTTGGCAACGGAGGCTCTGCACTTCTGTCTCCCTATCTACTTGAATGTATGCTACTAGATGATGCTGTGAATGGCTGGGGGGGGGGGGGGGGTGGTGCAAACCCCACGTGATTATTGATTCTACTTTCGGGTGCTGACCAGCTGCAAGAAGCTCTCCTTTTCATTTCTGCTTCTGTTCCGTCTGGGAAGTGGCTCTCCAGGTACTGTCCTAGGGAGTGTCTTGTGGATTTGGAATAAATGTCTCTTTTTCAAGATGCCTTTGTGAGACTCTTTGGTAGGACAAAAGTAACAGGGTCAAGGAGGCAAGCTTGGGCCTCCTCCCTTTCCCAGGGCTCCATGAGCAACCACAAGTAATCCAGTTGGCCTCTTCACACCTCCCTGGAGAAGAGGTACAGTCCAAGCCAAAGGAGAGCAGAGACTTCCAAAAATGAGACTAGCAAAATTTCCTCCACCCCAAAGACAATGGTTTTTAGGAAACCTGTTTGCCTGTGTAGGGCCTCAGTCAGGACTGCCAGATGGCCTTCCTACTTCCATCCCAGTCTTCATTTGCATTTCTTCCAAGGGAGGAGGTGGGGGTTGGCTTCAGTCTTTTTTATGTCTCTAGGGGCTGCTCGATTTCTAGGATAGATTTTTTAACTGGTGCCAGAACACCCAGAGACATGCTATAATGAAGTACTGGACTTGGTGAGTTGACAAGCAGCCCAAGGAGAGAGGCCAGAGTGGCTCTAATTCCCATCCCCCAAATGACACTGTGTACCTTATGGCCTGAGGTCCCTCCTAGCTTTGGACATGACTTTTTTTTTTTTAATATAAATTCCTCTATCATTTTATTTATTTTTTTTTGGAAGCAATCAGGATTAAGTGACTTCTCAGGGTCACACAGCTAATAAGTGTCTGAGGCTAGACTGGAACTCAGGTCCTCCTGACTCCAAGGTCAGTGCTCTATCCACAGCGCCAACCTAGCTGCCCCAAGCACTAACATTATAAATATCAACAAATGAATCTGTGATATGAAATGGAGCCATTACTATCCTATCATCCAACTTTAATACTGAATAAAAGTTCCCATTAAAAACAGATACAAGTGAAAATAAATATTTTTATTTGAGTCTAGAGGTGGAAATGGAGAATGTTATGGATTTCCCATAGGAAAAGATGCTTAAACCAACAGCCTGAAGAGGGAAGCAACACAGCGATACACACATTTAAAATACAGATTTTAATATAAAGGCAAACTTAAAAGCATCTTCTCAATTACAAATTAAGATAGACATGAGGAACTGAAATAGAAGGGAAAACCTTTTAAATTCTGAATTGTGAAGAATTAATTACAAGCATGAGAGGGGAAAAGGATTAGGATTAACTATTTCCTACTAAAAATGAACGGAATGACAATGTATTGACATAAATTAAGGGAAACAATTTGAATTTTAAATAAGTCACAAATTCGTAGGCTAAAGCATATAAACTAATTCCTATTGACTAGGAAACATCCCATAGCACATGTCCTAAGCAAGAGGTGGGTGTGGGGAGGGAAGTGTGTGGGTGTGTTTTTTAATTCATTCTGGGGAAGGGATTGTTTTAGTTGTTAATTTAAAAGTTTAACAAATCAATTCCCAAGCAACATTTATTTCATGACCCGCTTCATTTACCTAAACAAACCCTCTGCTCTCCAACAGCTCGAAATCCCATGCATAAAAGCCAAAGTTGACCACTTAGCTAAATGGATTGCAAAGCCCAAATTCTCTGATGAGCTAAAGATCTCCTATTCTTCCCTTCCCCCCGTGGTTTCTTAAAAAGCACTTTTATGAAAGGCTAATCTCAGTGAAGCATACAGGTGTACCTTAGAGTCACAGGGCAACCTGAAGGGTTAATCATGTTCAATACATTATAATTATTTGTCAGCATCTAAAGTGAGACACACATATTTTTCCTTCAAGGAGTGAAAAAAAATAATTTTCAATCCCTAAAGAATTTCACAAACGCCATATACCGAGAGTATAATTCAGTTTAATCTTAGGCGTTATGTTCTGATAGCCACGGTAACATCTTGTGCTGCAATACTCAAGTCAGAGTGAGTGTGTGTGTGTGTGTGTGTGTGTGTGTGTGTGTGTGTGTGTACAGTTTTTCTTTAATGTAGAAAGCATAAACAAAAATGGCACAAAACAGTAATTCATCCGACATGTCTGTGAAACACAAGCAGCCTCCATTCCATAGACTGTGCAGTGTGGAGCACAGGACTCCCAAACTCTCACTTAGGGGGTTGCTGACTTCTTTCCTCTAAGCCTCCTGCTGGGGAGGGCTTCCAGCCAGGAAGAGGTGGGGAAGGACCTGGGAGAGGAAGGAAGGTGCCGGGTCACCGAAGTTGGAGACAAGAAACTTGAACATGCTAGGAGGCCACAAGGAAGAGAACAACAGGCCTACCCCGTGCAGAATGGGATTTGGTGATCTCGAGCTCATCTATCCATAGCACACATAGCACCTGGGAGCAAGGAGAGCACCTACTTCATAGGAAGGAGAGACTTCCCTCTTGAATATTAAGTTTGTTTGTTTTTTAAAAGCTGATACATAGCACCATCTTAAAATGGGTCTTTTGCTCTAAAGCCCAAATCAAGTGTGTAAGCTCCCTAAAGGGTCAAACCAATCCTGTTCCCCACCCCCAAGGTGAGGGGGAGGGCCCCTCCAGTCCTGCCAGAGAGCAAGTGTCCAGGCTCCCAGTGCCCTGTGGTCACTGCCGCACTGCCTCTGGCTACTTGAACACGCCAGGCCTTCACAGGGAGCAGTCACCCTCTGGCAACTCACTGGAGGGTGAGCAGAAAGGGGGGGGGGGGGGATGGAGGCACTCCTACCAACTCGACATGCTCTCCCCATCCAGCAGACTGCAATATTAGACCAAGTCTTTTGGGGCAGTCTGCTAGCTTTTTGAAGGAGCACTCCCATGCTGCTTGCCCTCCCCGAGCCCAACTACATCCATACCCACGGGACCTTATTCAAGGCCTGCTGAAGCTTTAACTCTCCAATGTCTACCAACTTATGGAAACCCCTCCAGTGACTATTGAAGGTGAAAACAGACAAAGGAAATCTTCCAGAGAACATATTCAGGGGGAAATTACTAGGAGTGCTAGGAATGGCTCTGAAAAGTGTAGAACATATATATGAACATATGAGAGCACCCAATGCAGGAATGCCTTTAACAACATGCTCAAAGGGAGCCAAAAGACCCCTCTCAACATGGACTCCAGGGTAGCTGACGAAGAAAGCCAGCCATCCTTCATTCCTGCTCAATAAATTAATCTTGTGGGGGAAGGGGCAGACCACAGACAGCAATGGATCTGAATCTTACACTTTTCAGGCCTTTCTTGTCCAACTGGACACACCCTGTTACTCTTGGCCTGTTCACTCAACCTTCATGGGTTTGCAGCCACCTCCTATCCCCTTAAAGAGCAGAGAGAGGAAAAGCACTGGGAAACACTTTCTGTCACTACATCGGTCACCTGAGCAAGCTCAGCACCACCGTCCCTCAAAGAGCCTCCTGGCATCTTTAAGCTCTTAGGACATATAGGTTCTCATCAAATAGTGCGCCCGCCCCCTCCATAAGCTGGGGGGTAGGTCAAGTGTTCTGAACCAGAGGGAAGAGCCAACACTGCAGCCGTCACATTCTTTTAAACCACCCACCACTGGCACTGGCGGGGCCCCAGCAAAACCGGATTTGTTCAGCGAGGGGGTTTACAAGGTTGCGTTCTAAAGAGTATTTATTAATTTAGATGTTAATTAACTGACATTCTGAGGATCTAAAAGTTTTGGGAATACAAGGTACAATTTTAATGGTTTCATTTCCTATTTTAAACTAGTTCCTGAGAAAAGAAAGTCGAAGCTTGTGTCTCGCCCAGACACCTGCATGAAGTTCAGGGGAAGGTTCTAGCTGACAAAGGAATCCATCTAGACTCAGCACATGGGAGCTGTTCTGAAGGGCTCTGTCATAAAGCCGAGAATCACTGCAGAAAAGAGTCTTTCTAGCCTCGCGTTTCTACCTCTCTGGCTGCCTCTGGGAAATCCCAACAGGAGAGTTGATTTCCTTTTTTCCTCCCAGAAAACAGCTTCATTCAATTCACCCTCAGGCCAAGAAGCCTAAATTAAAGCTATCTACAGGTAAAAGCATCCCGTGCTGTCCTCCTTCCCCCCCTCCTCAGCATCCTCCCAACATCCACACTTGGCATCAGGTTTCAGTAAAAACAAAGGCTAACAGCAAAGATGCCCAGGGTGCTGAGCGATCAGATTCAGTGCTTTAGGTACTCAGATGTCCCAAGCCCCAAAGGCTTTCTGTAGTAGCCTTTAAAAAACAAACCATTCTCAAGGCCATCAACATGTAGGCTGATCATCCGACCAGAACTGCTCTTGGGATTCGGTATGCAAAGGCGGCCGAGGGAAGAGGGATGGCAGGGAGAGCCAGGGGTGCTGAACCTCCTGGCAGAGACTAGACAACCAGCTAACCGACCAACTCCAAGGGCCTCACCTTTCATCCAGAAACACTGATAAATTCACTAACAATTAGGTTTGCCAAAGTCTCATGCTTAATTCCAGTCACCAGTTGGACTCCAACACGGGAACATTTTTGATCTGCCCCCAGACCCTGACTACCCTCAGTCTTGAGTTGTTCTGGGCAATGGTGAAGTCGTTTTCCTTATCTTGAATCCCAATGTATACCAACCACAAGGAATGGTAATGGCCTCATCATTTTACATTGCCCTCCCTTCTCCAAGCCCACATCCACCACTTTAACAAGACACCAGTTCTATCTATAATGTCAAGAGACAGCACAATGAGGTCGCCCTCAACGCTACCTGAGGACATTCCTTTCTGATGAGTTTCCCCAAGCCTCAAGGCTCCAAAGACTCGAATCCAAGTTTGGGCTTCCACAGAAGCTGTGCTAGGGGATTTGCCTCTCTGATGGTCATGAGTTCCTAGGCTTCACTTCATGACTTCCTGGATTCCAGGGAATATTCTTAGCTTCTACTAGAAGCTACCACGTCTACTGCCCTTCTGAGTATCTTTTCCAGCTCCTCCTCTGCTCACTTCTTCCCAACAGTCCGACTCAACCTGCTCACTTTTGCTGAGTATCGACAATGAAACCTTCACGTCCCCATGGCTCAGTGCAGGAATGGGGGGTGGGGGGAAGAGAGACGAGAGTTGAAGAACAGGGAGAATCACCAGCTGGGGAAATTCTGTAGCAGAGGCTAAAGCTTGGAATACCTAATCCAGCAACTGGATTCTAAATACAACTCTACACTGAGAACATTCCCAGACACGGCATGCTGGGTTGTAAGCAAGAACCTGATTCAGAGAGACACAAATAAGAAGAAATATTATCAGGATTAGGCATTTAATTCATTACCAATTAACTGATGAAGCCTAACACGATGTGGCCAAGCAGAAGAAATCAACCAAGGTAGGTAAGAACAGCTGAGGAAGAAACATGTTTCTCCATCCCAGGTCTGCGTATGAAAACAGGATGCTTCAGTTAAGTTTTGTAGGAATGAATCCAAGGAGGCCAAAAGGCTTCAAAAGCCTCTGCCTGCCATGACTGAACACTTGCTTAGGCAGGGGTACACTGGGCCTAGTCGATATACTACTGCCATTCATGGTTATTGCCGTTTCCTATCTGAGTACTTGGTCCAATTCATGATACCTAGTCTCAAAATGAGAAGCTTAAAAATGGAACCCATACCCTTTTTTGTGCACTTGAATAAATAAAAATGTTTTGTAATTTTTTCTCTCTCTTTTTTTAAAAGTTTACTGTGCATTATACAATCTAAAAATAAATGAAATCAAGTATATGAAATTTATAAATTTTCATCATATCTCTATAAAATACTGTCACTTCCATAGCGTGACACTTTTCTGTACACAGAACACCAGGTCACAAGACAAGTAATTTGTTGCCACATCATCAGATCGGTGCGTAATAAGATAGCTGTGTGGGATTTGTGTGTGTATGTGTGTTTGTGTGTATGTGAGAGAACCACCATTTAAACCTACTGAAAAGCAAAGAAATAAAAAAGCAAATGCACTTAGTACAAAGGCCAAGCCATCTGGGGGTCAAGTATCAAAAAATTATGAACAAAATACAGAGTACTTTGAACAAAAACAACAAAAGCTGAGAAATCAAAACTTGCCCCAGCTTAGGAATTAATGTCCAATGTTGCCATGAAGAATTAAAACGGGCCTGACCAACACCAGTAAATATGCACCCTGTTCATATGCCAATGACATCCCCAAAATAAAGGGCTAAAAGAATTAACAGTATAGCAGGTAAAATTCACAGTGACAGGGGAACTCAGTGATGAGGGCATGTGTGGGAGACAAGGAAAACATTTAATGGAACTAGCTTTAAGGTATTCTCAGTTCAAGATGAACTGTTTGGTAGGATGGTAACAAGGACTAAAGACCAGGTGGCCTAGCAGCTGGTCGAGAAGGTGGAAAACAGTGGTCAAACATACACAGTTGCTTAAGGGAGTTGTTTTTAAAAACAAAAACAAACAAATAAAAACCACCAAGGCCCCAAACCCACACATCAACTTTTTTGCCCTCACTTTTTCAGGACAGGTAAAGCCTTTGGTAAATGAACAGAGTGACTTCAATAAATAAAGCAGACTTTCCCAAGAACTGTATTTGGCATTGGTCAACCCTCGAAAGTCAGCACCAAGGAGAACTACAGAGGCACAGTTCTGATGGATGAAATAGCACCGAGAACAAGCTGTGGACATCTCTGCTGGTGTGCCAGTCCTTTATATATATCTTATTTATTTATATATATTCTTATATATAGTTATTTATATCTTCTTAATAAGTTGCCTTTTACGACTTAGATGGAATAAAATAAGTCAAAATTGTTTTTACTTTTTAAAAAATGATAAATACTTTATCTAAAACTATCAACAATACAAACTGGAGCCTTTAAGTCATTTCTTCCGCAGTTTTTTTTTTAAACTCCGATTCACAGTAGAATATTCTTTATTCTGTCGTACTTAAAAAATTTTTTTTGTTTGCGCTGTCATCCAGTAGTTTGTGAGTTGAAACCCTTGCAGGCCAGGTGAGCACCTTTCAGTGGAAGCTGAGTGAGTTGGTCCACGGCGTCCTTGCATAGGTCACATGGGGTTGAGGTAGAAATTCTAGTTACCTAGAAGGAGACAAGCAGAGAGGGAAAGAGAGCAAGCCAAAAATCAAAACTCTATCCCATCATTTTCTAACATTAGGTTCGCCAGGAAAGTCAAAACACTGCTAAAAAAAGTATATCACAGTAACCTTTTTGGGGATTGTGCAAGGTAAAATGAACAAAAATTTCATTTTCTAAAATCAGGGTGGAGGCTAATGGAAAGGAAACTGAGGCCCCAGAAGATTAAGTGACTATCCCTTTTTACTCAATGGAACAAGGTACTGAATCTGGGAGACCTGATGCTCACCTAAGCCTTCAGCCTTCAGAGAATGGAGAACTGAGCTGACAGACCCCATCCCTTTGGCAACAGCCATTGCTGGAATAGTCCCCAAACCTCTGAGAGTGAGCAGGTAGGAGCAGGGCTAGAAAGTTACACTTCTCCTGCCCTCCCCAGGGAAGCATCAGCTTCTGTGAAAAGGCTTGGCTAGAAACTGGGAGCTCCCAGAGCGGAGCCAGGCGCTGTCTTTGTAGAACTGGACAATGTCTCAGTGTGTGCCCCAGCCTCCTCATCTGGGAAGGACACAAGAAGAAACACAGCAACGGGCAGAGGACACTGTCTTCCCCTTCTGGGGATTCTCTGCCAACCAAGCTCTCATTTTTTAAGGACGGTGTTTCAGTTCTTCCAGATGATGGATGTCAGGGAGAGCAAGCAGCAAATGCAGCATTGCAGCAGCAACAGCAGCTAGCTCAATAAAGCAGAGGCAAAGCCTCTGCCCCAGGCTGACCAGGCTCAGTCAGAGCCTACACTGGTTTGCTTCCAGGTGACTGTCTCCTACAGAATTGTGACAACAGTCACAGCAGGAGCTTCTTCAAGTTAAGGAGTAGTTATTTTGAAAATACCTACAACACCAACAGAACTAAAACCACAAATAAGAATATCATCACGCTTCATTCATCGAGCACCTGGAAGTGGGGGGAATGGGAGGGAATGATAAGAGAAGGGTTAAGTTAGGCTGAAAAATTTCACAGTGAATAGTGTCCAAACGACAATTGATCCTGAAGGGTCAATGATTTCATGAGGGGCTTTCCCTCCATTGAATGATTTCAATCTCTAAGGTTTGGGGGAGTTGCTGAAGCTGAAAAATTCATTGCTCTGAAGCCAAGTATCAGGGGAGCTTGTCTACACAACATATACAGGCTGTTACAAAGGTCTCAGTGCAGTTTTAAGCTACTGAACTTAAAAGACTTTTGAAACACCCGGTATCGCCCTGCCTAACCAAACTCTGAGTTTTTCCAGCTCAGAAGGACCTGCCAGCACTGAACTCTGCTGGAAATTTGGGAGGGTCCAGAAACCAGGCATTGGGAGTATAGTGGTATGTGCACATAGAACATAAATAAAAAATAATGGCCATGCCTGTAGTTATTTGTTTCTTTCTTGCATAAGGAACCTGTCCCCTTAGAAACTGAGCAGAAGCTTTATTAAACAAGCATTGATCTGTATGAGCACAACTAAAGAAAAACTGAAATAGGTTCAAACAACTGCCCCAGGTCAGAACCAACAGCAAAATTGGGGCCAGACTTCTCCACTCAGCTTACAGAGTTCTCTGCAGATTGCTCCCTGGAGTTACTGCCTGATAAGGTGCTGAGTTAAGGCCACATCATGGATACTTTAACTGGCTTGCATAAAAGTCTGGCAAGAAGTATTTGCTTCAAGGTAAAGTGCTAACTTCTGAGCTGTCAGGAGATCAAACCTGGCTAGATGTTCACGACAAGACACCAGGGATTGCCTTTGATGTTACTTTATGTGTGAAATGAAATGATGGCCATAAGAACAGAAGCCAGCTGGTGAGCCCACATTTTACACTCATAGTCAACTAATGACTTATTTAAAAAGGAACTTCCAACACCACGCAACCCATGTGTAAGAAGATAGTCATTTCCCTAGTGCCATTGTTACCTGCCTTAGAAAAGAAAACACTGCGGTTCTGTTTGTCAGACATGGGGCAGAGGAGCTTGGGCCTGTGGTCCTTCTGTGGACCTCGGCTATCCGAACAACATGGATTTCATGTCTCTTAAGAAAGAGTAAGATAAAAACAAACCTTGATAGGACCAAGGTTAATACCAACTGAATCGAAATTCTCTGGCTAACACCAAAACATCCAGTTCCTATGTCTGGCGTGAGACGACCATTTAACATTGGCTGAATCAATAACTTAGGCCATCCCATTCCGTTTCCCAAAAACACACACTTGACCTGCATGTAAATCATCTCAAAACATACACTAAGACCACAGAATCGTAAAGATGACTGAAAAGAACACAGCAATGGACTGAGCTGTTCCCTGCAGGTTGTAAATGAGTTGTTGGAGCACAAATACTATTTAAAACTTGTATGTGAAAAAAGTACAGTTTATCTCAGAGGCTAAACCTCAAAATCTGTTTCAAATACAAAATGGTAAGAGAGGTCATGAAAGTCACACCTTAAACAAGGCCTTTCTTACCTGGAATACCAAAATAGGCCAGGGAAGGAAGATGGACCGAGGTGTGACTTCAGAGATAAGTGACAGTTGGCCTGGCAGTGCCCATACCACTTAGGGCTGAGTCTAGAAAGGTTATGGCACAAAACTCAGTCAAACTTCCAGCTTATTAGGAGGGAAGAGGAAAGAGCTACTATCTGAGCCCTGGACTGCCTTGAATTAAATAAGCAATAGGGTCCAAATTCAACTTGATCAGTTGAAAGAGACTGCTCCAGCTAAAACCACACCTCTCCCCAACCAGCGGCCCTGGTACCCCGGAGCCTGTCGGGGGCTGCCTAAGTGCAGAAGTCCAAGGTCGGGTTCCAGGCTTCAACAGACAGGTTACAGGGCAGCACTATCAGCTGAACCAGATTAACTAATATCAACGAGTTTCTTCTCCCTCCTTCATCAGTACTGTGCCCCTCAAGCTGTAGTCACCCCCAAGATCCTTATGTAGGGTACCCCCACCATGAGGAACGGGCTTTTTTCTGGATGTGTCTGTGGCACACTCATGACTCATGCCACCGGGCAAACAAAACAGCCACATGTCCTCCTGGGAAGGTCAGGATGGCAGCTCTGTTACCTCGACAGGAGAAAGGGCTTTTCACCTACTTGACCAGTTTGACCAGCCTCATGTATTTCCAGCTACTGAGCACTTTTTTGGGGGGGTTTTTTGGGTTTGGTTTTTTTTTTTTTTTGCCTCGTCGGCATTTGGAGAATTCCTCATGAGCACAAGGAAGGGATGAAATGAAACATCCCACTCTACTGGTCAGAGGAGGGATGCTGATCCCCAAACCCCGGTAAAGCCTGCACTGGCACACCCGAGACTCCTACTCTGACCTCAACTGGCCTCTGTGAAAGGAAGGGAATTCAATTTTGTGCATAAACCACCTAGTTAGGCTCTAGCCTTACCTTACATAATACGAACTGCTAGCTAAGCAAGCTCTTTATCGCGGCTTAACCCCAGAAAGGTGCGAAGCGTAAGGAGACTGCATGCCAAGGGTAACCCACATAGCGGGCGGGCCAGCGGCGTTGGACTGCGGGACCACGGGTGCAGCCTGGGCCAACGCCAAACGGGGCAGAGGCTGGTGGTGGACTGTGAAGGAGGGGCGGGAAGCTTTATGGGGGAGGGAAGCGAGCTTGATAGAGAGAGGAGCGTTAGCCTGGAGAGAAGCAGCCGACGAGGGCATAGCAAAAGCTTTGTTAGCAGGAATGGACGTTAGGGTCGGCAGAAGCCCGGGCTCCGGGTTAGAAGCAGTGAGTAACAGAGGGGGTGGAGGCAATGAGACGTTAGCAAGAGGAGGAGCAGGGGGAGGAGGGTGCAGGACAGGCTTCACAGGCCTGTGGTGCTGGGGGGCTCTAGCCTCGCTACATGTTCCTATGCTAGAGGAAGAGGCCTGGAAGGAAGAGAAAGTGGGGGTGACCACAGCCTGCACTGGGTTTAAGCTTAGCATGGTGCTGCTACAGAAACTGGCTCCAAACTGATGAGAAGAGGCAGAAGGCACCGCATGGTTAAAAACACCTGCAAACAGGAGAGAAAAACTGAGCTTCAACACAGAGGCACTGTCCAGGAACAGTGAAGAGACATGCGCGCCAGCGCGCACACACACGCACACACACACACACACACACACACATGTCCACTCAAGCAGGGGTGCCGACAGACAAGACACGCGCCAAACGTACAAGTACATGGGCACACATACATGCATGCACACACGCACACACAGAGCACAGCACATACAAAGCAAAAAGCAAAGCCGTCAAGGTGAGAACCTGATGTCCGAATGGCAGCCCGCCATGGGAGCCACGGTGCCAGAGGCAAGGGCTCCAGAGCACAACTTACCTTCAGATGCCCTGGGCAAACGAGAGAGAAGAGGCTCTACCCAAAAGGAAGGAGAAGGACTAGTCCCAGGCCACGGAGCCTCTGCGCTATGGGCAGGGACTGAGGGGAGGGGGAGGATGTTGACCCCTGGCAGCCATCACTTGGCCATTCTTGCAGGGAAGGAAGACAATGACGGAATGTAGGATGTGCTTCCTCCCTGTATAGTATCTCCAGAGAGGATAAACAGATCCCGTACACAAGGAGGCACGTGCTCTGCCAAATACCAGCTGAGGACCTTGAAATCAATGCTGTGCACACATTCAATTCAAATGAAGGGCTTCATGGTTTGGGGCCAGGGAAGGGAGGCAAGCAACGTGCTGTCACGACAAGGTGCACAGACTTAGGACTGGTTAGATGGAGGTCACTGGCTGCATTGTACACAAAGCACCTGGATTACAGAATCAGGAAATCCTGAGAGGCAAGCAAATCAAATTGTTTTATGGAAAGCTAGTACACTGTCTAAATTCTGTGTGTTTGCTGTAGGGTGGGGGCAAGGAGAGGAAGGAAAGACCAATGTAATGAGGGGAAGAGGGAGAGAGTGACGAGCCAGGATCTCCCCTCAAACTGCAACATGTGATCACGGGCTCCCTGTGAAGAGTGTCCTAGAGACAAAAGCGCGGGTTCCATTCCTTACTACACAGTGAACCTAGGGAAGTTGCTTCTGTCTGGGCCTCAGTTTCCTGATGTGGAAAATGAGGGGAAATTAGAATAGAGATGACCTTGAAGGGCCCTTCTCTGGCTCTGAAATGATCCTAGTGCCTTCCCTGCACAGTCCAATTCTCAAAAGCAACCTCTAAGTGGCCCCTTGAAAAGGAGAAGCAAAGCTCCACCAACCTACCTCCAACTGTTCCACCTGTAACCCCAGAAGAGAAGTTTCCCATAGCGTGAGAATTTGTCAATCTGGTCGCAGCCGACGACACGTGGACCAAACTGGCAGCAGCAGGCATGGAATTAAATAAAGACTGCAATACTGAAGAGCCTGCCACTGAGCTGAGGTTGGCCTGCAGGGACATAGGGCCCAAGGGAAACTGGGATCCAGTGGTGAAAGTGTTTAGGAAAGGGTGGTGCGCCGAAACAGAAGAAGTGGGGTGGCCGGCCGCAGAGGCCGCGCTGGAAAGGCCTTTGCCATTGAGGAGGCCCCCAGGAGGCACGGCGGCGGCGGCAGCAGAAATGAAAAGATTGTGGCCATTTTTAAACTCCAAGTCCCGGTCCCGTCCTTTGCCAGCCTTGCCACCGTGCTGCAGGGAGCTCTTTTCAGAGGGGCCCCCCAGCTGCAGGCCCACGTCGAGCACCTCTTTGCTTCGGCCTCCAGCCCTCTGTAGCTCTTCCCCCTTCATACTTCCTAGGCCGTCCAGCTGCCTCTTGTTCAGAAAAGGGTTGGCGTCTGAGCCGTCTTTGCTCCGCTGTGCCTGAAAACCCAGAGGGGAGGTCAAGCCGGCCACCTCGGTGGTCTTGTGAGAAAGAGAAGCACCATCGTGAAAGCTGTGTAAACTCACATCAGCAGCAGACAGGCCCCCGGCATAGGAGAAACCATTGGAGGAGTTTGTGTTGGGGCTGAGACCATCCGTCCCTGACAGTGAACCGGGGAAGTTTTTCCTCGTGTGCACAGAGACCTTGGCGTCAATAGCCATCGTATCCTCTGAGGACGGCCGGAAGGCAAACAGGGAATTCTGGCTCAGGGACGAAGCTGCCTGTAAGGGGCTGTCGGATGTTTTGGTAAGGTTGATGTCTGATATTGGTGAAAAGGTAGACTTCCATTTACTACTGTTGATACCTTCAGTTAGTTGGGTTTGCTTCCTTCCTGGAAGGCCACCACCTGGTTTGGTGAAAAAGAACAAAAAATAAACCCCAGTTCAATCATCTGATTGGGGGAGAGAGAGAGAACGAGAAAGGTCAGGTTTATTTGAAAGGAGTAGGGCACGTTCACAGGGGTGGGAATGAGCCCCCAAACTGGCTCCTCTAGGTCTGCTACGAGAAGTCCTAAGGGTTATGCAGGCCAGCAGACTAACCTGAGCAAAAGAGGAAAAAATGGCAAAGAGCTTAAGGACTGTTGACACTGAGGAGCTAAACGCTAGGAAAGGGCTCATGGGAAATGGGGGAAGAAGAAACTCTGCAGCCAGGATTGTGGGCCATCAACCAGGATGAGAAGCACCGTAAGTTTAAAAAAAAAAAAAAAAAAAAAACCCCTGGGGGCAGAAGGAGAAAAGAGAGCCACTTTCCACTAGATGCCAAAAAATATGCCCTTCCCCTCCCCCCACAACAGCAAAGCAGTTGAAAAGAAGCAGCTACTAACTGCAAACATCCGTGTCCACACATGGCAGCCCACAACATGCATGTGCAAAATGACTGGCGAACATCTCATCGACGGAAGCTTAGGCACACGGCAAAGGCAGAAGCTTTACAGCTTATGTGAAATGGAATGAAGAAAGAACCGGAAGACTGCACAGACAGAAGCGAGGACGACAGAAAGGCAACACTAAGCCTACCTTGGGCAAGCAGTGACGCAGGAAGGTCTGCAGCCCGCTGTCCGTCAGCCAGAGCTAGCAGGAGATGGCAAACACTGCACATTCAATGCCTCCTTTACTTACCATTTTCTGTTTTCTGGGGAGACTTGCTCTCTAAAGATATTGTTGCGATTTTCCTTTCAATCCTAAAAAAGGGAAAAGGAAATGGTTATTCATATAACCACCTGTATTATCCCACATTTTAGTCTGTCACCTAAGTAAAGGCACTGGGATGACGACACGAAACTGGAATATTTTCTGTGTTACTAAAGGGAAAGGCAACAAGGACAGTCAAAGCAGTACTATTCTACCAAGGGGATAACTGAAAGCACTGAGTTCAAATGTCAGCTCCACTGCTTATATATAATAATTCAGACAATTCCCATCACTTCCATTCTTTCTTTCTAAAACGAGTTTTAACAATTACAACTGCATTGTGCAGAAGGTTGTTGGAAGTAGTGGGGTTTGTACATCCCAAAACAGCATAGGAAGAGTTAAAATATGATTATAATTTAAATTCACAGGTTGAACATAAACATATCAGAACAGTTCCATTCTCTGCTAACAAAGACAACCGTCAAGTTCAAATGAAACAACAATAACAAAAAAAAAATAGCTTTAAATCCAGAGAGAATCAGTAAGTTTATAGTGGAAAGAGAGCTGGATTGGATAAGGAACATTTGGGTTCAAATCCCCTCTCTGGGACACAACACCTTTGCGACCTTGGGTAAGTCATTTAAATATTTAGTGACCTGGGCAATTCTCAACAGGCTTGGAGTTACGGAAGTGTCCTCTCCAAGCTCCCTACATCAATGTCTGGACCCCCTTGTCACCCCAAAAGAGGAAGGTTCCTAACTGCTATAAAATTAACTTGTCTTTAATTCCTCAATTTGCTGCGTTACTTATAGATGTGTATAGCAATTTTCAAAAAGGTAAAACCTCAAACTGTATTTTAAGCCATGTTAGTAGGGGAAAAGATTACTAGCAATAAAAAACAACTGAAAAATAAATTGAAGGAAAAAAAAAAGATAAGCACTCTTATCAATGACTTCCTTGGCACATAAAACTTGTAGAAGAAGCTTTAGGTCAGCAATTCTCAAAGTACAGTCTTTAGATCCCTGGTTATTTCCAAGGTTCTTTCAGGGGGTTGTGAGGTCAAAATTATTTTCTTAATAAAACTAAGATGTTATTTGCCTATTAAAATATGCCTCCCTTTTCTAACTACATGTATTTGTGTGAGAACAGTCTTCACATACTACAAATAAAACAACACTGTACCAGAATGAATGAAGAAGCCGATAAGAGAATGTAGTTGTCATCTCTTAAGCTAGACGTTTAAAAAAATTTGCAAAAACATGGAAAACAATGCCTTTCTTCTAATTAAAAAAAAAGTTACATTTTGTTAAAAAATTCCCATATAAACAAAAGCATTTGAGAGTCCTCAACAATTTTTTAAGAACGTAAAGGGGTCCTGAGTCCAGAAAGTTTGGGAACATCTGCTCCAGGTCAAATGATATGGATATTTTAGTCATCTGCATATTTATATGCATTAATTCACAGCTACTTCCAAAAATTATTGACTCACAGTTCATTACCAGTACTCTTCGTTTACCTATCTCCCCAAAAGCCCTACAATACCAACTTCCCATACTTTGTCATCTTTGCAAATTTCCTGGGTGTTGAATTGAAACCTTGGGAATTTAAAAGTTTTTATAGATATTTTCTGGGTTTTTTAGACCAGTAGAATTTCTCCCAGTCTCACCTGTCCTCATCCCAGAGTCATCTTTAATGATTTTCAAAGAAAAAAAAGAGGAAGAGAAAAAAACTCATCAAAAAAGTTTCAAAATATCTACTATACCCATAGAACCCCAACTTCCCCAAAGGAGTTGAGGATGGGAGAATTTGTTTTTCTCTAACTTGATAACATTCATCTTGGCTCTGTTCGGTGATTGTTTTTACATATTCACACTGTTGTGCTAACTACACATTAATGAATGACTGCTTGCTTTCCTCTTAATCAGATCATATAAATGTTATTATGCTGTCTTCATCAAATTCGTTATTTCTTAGAATAATTTTCTATTACAGTTTTGTACCAAAACTTGTTAACTGAATAGTGAATGGATGGGCACTGGCATGGTTTCAAATTCTTTGCTCTCACACAAAGTGCTTCTATAGTTAGTGCTGGTCATAATGCCTAGCACATAGTAGGCCCTTAAATGTTTGACAGACTGCTAACGATATTTTATTGTAAATGAGATCCTTGAGATACGTGCCTGGTAGGGAAATCTCTAGGTTTGAGGGCATGCATGTCCAGTTCAGTTACTTTGTCATACTTGAAAAGTGCTTTCCAATATGGTTGTCACACCTATTCACAACTGAACTAATGAACCACCGTTGACTATTCCTATTTTTTGTCATCTTTGTTTATTTGCTGGTGGTGAGGAAATATCTCAAGGTTATTTTGATTTGCATTTCTCTTATACTGTAACATTTTTTCATATGGTTACTAATAGTCCGCAATTCTTTTGAGAACTGTCCATTCATAGCCTTTAATACCTAATGGAAAGGCAGCTAGGTGGCATAGTGGATATAGCTCTGGTTTGGGGTCAGGAGGACTTGAGTTCAAATCTGGCCTCAGACACTTGACATTCACTAGCTGTGTGACCCTGGACAAGTCACTTAACCCCGATTGCCTCACCAAAATAAAAATCAAAGCAATACCTAATGGAGAATGTATAATATACATACACAATCTCCAAAAAACAAACATGTATATCTATGCATATATACATACATGTGTGTATGTGTATATATAGTTGAATTTATCTTGGATACCAATAGTGTTCTCCCCTCATTCCACTGCTTTCCTTATGCTACACTTGAATTTTGTTTGTGTAGGAGTTTCTCAGTTTCATGTAATCAAAGTTGCCAGTTATATCTTTTGCAACTGTCTCTATTCTTTAAGAATGATTCCTGCCAATAACAATGAAAGGTACATGATCTGATTCTCTTCTAATGCTTAATGAATGGTATGATCTTTAATGTTAAGATCCCATGTCATATTTTGAATCTATTGTGGAATACAGCGTAAAATGTTTTTCTAAGATTATGTTCAGCTACACTGCTTCCTAGGTTTCCCTGCAGCTTTCCTTAAACAGGGATTTCCCCCTCCTAAGGACAGACAGTTGAATTGAATTCCACTGTTTCTTTATCCTTTCTTGATTGGTGTGTTCCACTGATTTTTAAACAATACAAAATAGTTTGATGGCTGATTTATAATCCAGGTTAAGGTAGGAAGTACTGTACCCCTTCATCCCTATCTTTTCCCATTAGATATTCCAGATCCTTTGTTTTGAGAAACAAATTTTGCCACCATTTCATCATGCGTGACCTGGAGAGTTCGGCCTAACAATAAAATGCTAATTTTCTTAGCTAGGATTGTCATTTTTAATAGCACCTAAGCTTGGCCATGAGCACTGAATACTCATTTTTTTAAAAAGGGGCATTTTGTAATTAATTATATCCAAGTATTTTATGTGCTTTTGTTTTTTGATTGCCTTAGTTATTTTAAATAAGATTTCCATTTCTATAACTTAGATTTTGTTACTATTACTCAGAAACACTGCTGTTTTTGAGTTTATTGTGTAGCCTGCAACTGGGCTGAAGCTATAGTCTAAAGTTATATCTGTGCTAATTTCCTAGTTTTCCACATAAACCATTATCTGAACAGCTTCAGCTGCCTAGCTGAATGCCAATTTCCTTTTCTTGTATTACTATTGCTACCATTCTGTAACTATATCAAATAGCAAGAAGGGGCCTCCTGGCTTTATTCCCGTCAGTTGGTAGCTTCTGGATTTAGATACCTTAGATTTGTTTTAAAGGTCCCTCCATTATGCATATATGCTTCATAGGGTTTTAGCATAAATGAAGTGTAGTGTATAAATGGCTTTTGGTGCATTAATTTGAGATGATCATGTGGTACTGGACTCTTCATTTTCAATATGATTATTCTGATGGTTTTCCTAAAGCTAAACCATTCCTGTAATAAATCTGACTTGGTCAAAATGAATAATGTTGAGTAAGATGCTGTGTATTCTGATGAGATTTTTATTTAAATTTTTTGAATCAATATTCATGACAATTTTCTAAAACAGTGGTGTCAAGCTCAAATAAAAAAAGGTGCCATTAGCAGCGGCATTTATATTGTCAGGCACTGAAACTCTGCAGCAGGCCATGTGCTAAGCATACTTTACAAATATTATTTCAATGGATTCTCATGGCAAGGATCGTGCTGAGAGGAAGGTGCTCTTATTAGCCCCATTTCACAGCTGAGGAAACCAAGGCAGACAGAAGTGGAAGGATTTGACCAGAGTTATGCAGCTAGTGAATGTCTGGGGCGGGAACGTGGGTCTTCCAGAGTCCAGGTCCAGAGCTCTGTGTACTATGGTGCTACTTAGCCACTAAAATGTATGTTAAGGATCTCTGTGGGACAAATACTGAGGACCATACATATTAACATTATCTGTGGGTTTTTTTTTTTATTTTGTTAAGTATTTCCCAATTTTATTTGAACCTGGTTCCAGGTGTATGGGCCATGTGTTTAACAACTCTGTTCTAAAAAAAGTGTAAAGGTCTTCCTTGATTGACACTTCCCTGGTTAAGATATCAAGACTATATTTGTCTCCTAAAAGTAGTGTGGCAGAGTCCTTTTTCTCAAAGTTGTGTAGTATTGGTACTTTTTTTTTTTAAAATAGAATTCTCTTGTGGTTCTAAGTTTCTTTGTTAGATTCTTTAGAATTAGTTCTACTTCCTTATTTTGAGATGGGATTAAAGTCTCTATATGGTCATGTTAAGTTTGGGTATTTTGTACTTTTGGTGGAATTTTTTTTACTTCCTTTGTGTTCTTCCATCCAAAGGAGGTCACTGATAAGTCATCACATTCACCAAAATATTTAAAGCAACACTTTCTATGGTAGCAAAGAAACAAATCAGATGCCAATGGATTGGGGAACAGCTAAACAAGTACCGTGATCTGCAACAATCAAATTTTACAAACGCTGCAAAATTACAAAGAACTAGCATGGCGTGAAAGAAGACCTATGAGAAGAATCCCACTCCTCAGCAGACACAAGTGGCCCACAGGTGTGGTTTACTGCATATGTTTTCAGACTTTTTCAAAGTAACTGATTCTGCAGATTGTTCCCTCTGTATTTGTTATATTGAGATGGCTTTCTGGAAGGAAAGGGGGAAATGATAGTAAAGTTTTGGTGATAAATAGATCAATAAAAATGTAATTCAAAAAAAGTTAGACAAGAAGTAAAGGATTCTTACATTAACTGTTACAACCAGCTGAATTTTAGACAAAGTCTAAAGAGATACTACATGCGTGTGAAAATTAATCCAATTCTGAGGATGAAAATGAGTAGCCAAAGGATACTAGCCTTCCTACCTCTACATGGGGTTTATCACAAGTATTAATTAAAAACAAAACCAATAAACCTTTGATGTTACTGAATAGCTTGTGAATGAATCCCCTCAGTTTTACAGACAGCAAATTCAAAGAAGTGAGTTAGGGGCTTACCTCCCTAAAAACCAAACATTTCAGGACATAGTAGATAAAGTAAAATGTACACCAAACTTGGAACCAAGAGATCTAAATAACAATCTGAGTTTAGGTCTTCTACTTAATACAGTGGTGTTGAAAATAACTGGAACAAAGTAAAAAATTTTAAATTTATTGACTTAATAGCATTAACTAAACAACATTTCACATAAAAATCTTAATAGGCAATGTGTCCTCTTATTTTACATAATTTGGAAATGAGTTCACAAGAAGATTTTAAAATGTCACTTTTATTTTACTTTTTTTTTTTCATTCAACTAACAAGCATTTACGTTCTCTCCTTTCTCCCACCCCGCCACGAAGTTAGGGGAGTTGTAGGGAGAGACAAAAGCTTGTAACAAATATGCACAGTCACTGGCCATGTCCAAAAATGCATGTCCTGCGCTCTAGCTCTGTCTCTGTCTCTCTCACACGTGTGTGTGTGTGTGTGTTCATATATACGTTTGTATATGTTTTTAAATGAACAAAAAAATAAGTCTCTCCATCCCACCCCATCAAACTACTGGGAAAAAATGCAAAACAACCATACATACTAAAGCAAAACAAATTCCCGCATTGGCCATGTCCAAAAGTAAGACTCATTATGCACCCTGAATCTGTTGCCTCTCAGGGGGTAAGCAGTACATTTCATCAATGGTTCTCTGGAGTTATAGATGGTCACTTGGCTAATTAGAGTTCTTAAGTCTTTCAAAGGTGTTTGTCTTTTGATGATGCTGTTGTTATTGTGTAACTTGTTCTTCTGTTTCTGCTGATTTCAGTCTGCATCAATTCATACAAGTCTTCCCAGCTTTCTCTGATACCATCTGCTGTCATTTTTTGTGTTGCAGTAATACCCCATTACTTTTATTTATCAATTTATTCAGCCCCTTTCCAAATAAGAGCAATTCTCTAGTTTAGCTCCTTGTAACTACAAAAAAGGATACTATAAAAATGAGTCCTTTCCTCGTTCTTTGGTCTCTCTGGGGTACAGGCCTATAGAGAGGTATCACTGGGTCCAAGTACATGCACAGTTTAGTTGCTTTTAGTGCATAGTTCCAAAATAATTTCCAGATTAGTGATAAATTTTTGATGGGGCTATATCAAGTCAGTCATATATATTTCTTGGATAAACCTCCTAAAAGTGTCATGATATGTAGCAGGGTCCTACAAGGTGTTAACTGAATTATGTCTCTATTCAGAAATTTTAGTCCTATCAGTGTTTATCAGAGATTTCTATCCCCTCAAAGGGGACAAGACTTCTAGGCCCATTTTAAGCAAAAAAAAAAAAATCCCCAAAACATTGCTTTGCAAGGTGGATTGTTTACAATATTATTGAGGTGCCCAGATTTGAATGGCTGGCCTGGACTTCTTACAATGATTTTGACATAACTTTGAATGAAAAATGGAGCTTCATTCATCAATAAAAACTACTTTTCCAGTCTTTAGGACTCTACTTTTTGTACTGTTTTGGCCATGACAATTTCTTCTTTGTAAGGATGGTACATAGCTAGGGTTTTTTTGGTCTTCTCACTTGTCTTCCAGCTTCAAGAAGCTAACCTCACACTGTGGAGGAGTTGTTACCAGCCCCTTTTGCCACTTGGCACCTCTGCTAATCTATGATTATTTCTGTAGTTTCATTAGGCTGTCTTGCAGGAAGTTCTTGGCGCCACGTTACGTTTATATCCCCACTCTCCTTTGTGCTTCATTGTGACTGATGCTGTTTCACCGTGCACTTGAATGATCCTTGACTTCCCCACACCAAAAGCTGCTGAAATATCTCTAATAGTCACTGAAGTGTGCTCTGTAAGAGCTACAAATTTTGCACGTTTCCTTGGAGTAACATCCATTCTTAAAAACAACAGAATTAAAAACACAACAAAAGAGAGCAATGAAACATGTGCATATGGTATAAAATCTAGCACTCAACTGCCAGAGAACTAATTAACAATGGTGAAACCAAGTCCATATACTTTCATTTGCTAAAGGTCAGATATCCTGAGTCAACCTGGTGTCAACAGAAGCGCATATCTGAGCTCTGCTGTTACAAAATGGAAATTCTATAAAAATTATGGTTTATTTCAAGTAAATTCACATGCCACTGTTCCCCTATAACCTTTCAGAGCTTCAGTCAAATGAGACGTTGACCCACATAAACCCTTCGGACATTCTGTAATTCCCAATTTCAAACGGGCTATTGATGATTAGAAAAAGTATATAAAATTTTGGTCCTCTAAATCAATGATTCCAAAACGATCCCTCACAAGAGTCCTTCAGATATTACAGGTGCTGGACTTCTTTTTGGAATATTAAAGCTCAATATTACTAAGAAAGCTGACTAAAGCAATGGTCCTACCAAGTCCTATGGGAAAGATTCATCCCAAAGGTTAGCCAACAAGCTATTTTGTTGCTGTTGTTGTTGTTGTACATAGTAACTCAAAGATAAAAACACTGAAGATATGGATCACAGGAGGGAGTAGCTGCAACAAGTATTAAAAACTCACATTTATCTAAAACCTTAGGTTTATAAAGGACTTTTTTTTCTTTCTTTTTTTTCTTTTGGTGAGGCAAACAGGGTTAAGTGACTTGTCCAGGACCTCACAGATAGTAAGTGTTATGTGTCTGAGGCTGGACTTGAACTCTATAAAGAACTTTCAAAAAAAAAAAAAAGTCCCCAAACAACCCTATGATTTAGGTGGGCACTTTGATCACCACCTCCGAATTTCAAAAATTAGGAAACCAAGGTACCTTTGATTATATTGCTAATAAGTATCAGCATTAATTATTAAAGTGCACATGGAAGGGCCTTAAAAATGCTTGTTTGATTATACATACTTGTATCTCTCAAAAGATGTACTGTGCCTCTCCATAATTTCTGGCCACTGTGCTTTTCTTATAGCACCAAAAGAAAATAAATCTCTAGAGAAAAAGAAGCTCAAGTGAAACATCTGAGCAGTCTATCCTGGGAATCTGATGTGATCCCCTAGTTGGGGAGTCTCTCTTTGTGGGAAAAAAGTCAAGCTTCACATACTGAGAACTCCCTTGAAAAATAAGGCCCAGGCAATCAGTCCCACAAGCAGAAGACCAAGCGTCGTGTTCTCGCCTCACCTGATGCTGTTGTGCTCGTCTTCGGATCCCTGCTCTTCATCCGAGGTCAGGGGTGAGTAGTGCGCCCCATTCGTCTGGATCAGGGGCTTCTCCTTTTTCAGCACAGGAGGCTGGTCGTTGTCCTGGTAAGGAATAGGAGAGTTCTTCAGGGAGTTTTCAGGGGAGGAAATGGCTGTTATTTCTAAAGGCTGATTAATGTTATTGACCTAGGGATCAAAAACAAAACACACACCACAAAAACCCAATTAAATGTATTCTTCAAGCAGATCATGTCACCAAAACATGATTTTCAAATTACATTCTAATGTCACCTCTGAAAAATCACCTTCAAACTCCTCTCACTACAAACCTATAGGCCTAGAGTAGATAATTTCAGCAAAGTGCTGAGCTTAAAGGTGGGTAAAGAAAAAGAAGTAATATGACACAGCAGAAAAAGTGCTGTATTTTAAAACTGGAGAATGAGGATGGAATCCCAGCACTGACACGAACAATCTGACTCTCAGTAACTCACTTAATCTCTCAAGGCCTCAAATGACACACCTGAAAAATGAAAGGATAAGACAAAATGACCTCCAAGTTCCTTACAGAACCACTTTATTAACAGGAATGCATAAACGATTGACCTTCGGGTGCTAAATAAGGTGACACCACAAGCAAGGTTGTCAATCCCTTGCAGCGTGAGAGGTCCCCATCAGCTCTAAAATTACTATTCTGAAGAACAGCCAAGGCCACTGGTACCACAACGGACATGACTGACAGAATTCTGATTTCCTGACACAATCCATATCCTGGAGTTTGGTCCACTTGGAATGTCCAGGGTTCACTGCACATCCTGGGCCCTTTATCCTACAACACACCCATCAGTGACAAACAAATAAACAAAACACATTTCTGGTTGCAGAAACATTCTCAAGCTTATGGGTTTATTACTACCATTTCACCACAACTTAATGTTAAGCTGCTCTAGGAAGTTTTTCAACACTCTGAAATTAGACACTGATTATATCTACAGCAGCAATATGGATGGTGAAACTCACGGTTACCACCCCAAAGTTATCTTTCTGATAACAGAAACAACAGGCGTACTAATACCAAGATCAAAAGGTCAGAGTCAGAGCCTGGGGAAATAGCTTTGCAACTCTGCAGCTACAAGACCAGGGGAAAGTCAGCCCCTGACTTTTTTTCAATGGGTTAGTGTCCTTGGCTATCTAGGAGAGGATCTGAGGTAGCCCTTAGCCCTTAAATTCCATGTGTCAAGGATCACATCCCTTCCTCCAGCACAGAGGAATCCACAAACAAAGTCTCTTTTTCTTACCATAGAGTTGATGTTGAGGGGTGAGCCTGAAGACTGGGTGAAGAGGCCTGCCACCGATGGTAGGGGCTTGCGCTTGGGAGATACCGCAGAGTTCGCACTAGGGTTCCCTGTGGAAGACCGCTTCCTTCTGCCCCTCTTCTTGCCCTCCTGCACACAAGCCTGTCCACAGTCTGTGCGGATGCTAGCTGTCAGAGGACTGTGTTTGTTGGAAGGAGACTGCTTCAGGTTCCCTGTATTGGTCGAGATTGTAAAGAGGATTCTTCTCTTGACTTCATTTTCAGGATCTGAAAAGCCTGAATCTAGTGGAAGATCCCCCTTGTTACCTTCAGAGAACAATTTCGTAGTATCCGAGTACTGCAAAATCCCCATCATGCTTTGAGAAGCTCCATTGAGGCGTGGGCTGGCAGCAAGTGGGTGGGCTGGAGAGTTCTGGCCAGAGTTCCGGGACTGCATCATGAGTAAAGAAGGATGCTGTGGCGTAGAACTCCGTGAACCCACTGAATTAAAGAGGCTCCCTGAATTGGAGGAATCATCTAGGGCTGCCTGCTCAGCACCATGGCTAAGATGGGCTGGGCTACTGGGAAGCGTGCCATTGACTGCCAAGGAGCCACTATAAGAAAAACCTGTTGGAGACATGCGTTATCGTGGCAACATCCCACAAAATTTTGCACACCATTTTGAAACACATGATACCCAAAGTTACAAAAGTCACAAAATCTCACTTTAAAAAATTATATTTTGATAACTATTTCAATCTAATTGGTCTCCATCATATCCTTGCATCTTTTATGTATTCAGAAACATTCAGGAGTCCATAGGCTTAACCAGACAGCCAAAGAGGCCGATGTCACAAAAAGACTTTAGAGAGATAAATGTCTGCACTTTACACAAAGGTAGCTAAGGCCCAGAATTTAAGTCACCTGCATGAACTCAGAAACAAATATACATGAGAAAACTGAGGCCTAGGAAGCTTAAGTGACTTACCCAAAGTCACATCAGCAGTGAGCACCAGAAACAGGATTTGAACCCAAGCCCTCTTATTCAAGGTCCATGACCATCTCCACATCATCATCTGGCCTCCAGGGCCTTCTGAGGTCCTACCCAGTTCTAGGTGTATAAGCCTGTGATCCAGGTGGGTCAAGTGAGTGACCCCAGAGTCTCTGACACACAACAGCTAAATGACCTTGGGGAAGAAATTCTGTCTAGCAAACTCTGTAAGATCAAGTTGTAGAAGAAGAGTTGGCCTTGATCAAAAGGCCGTACCTGAGGACCTAGAAGGCCACATGGGGCTTCGAGGCTACAGGTTCGCCACCCGTGCTCTATGAACAAAAAGTTCCTGTAACAATACTTAGCCTAATGTCATGTTTCTGAAGAATCAGTGACTGATTCTGTCTTGGGTATTTTTAAGGAGTTGACACATTGCTACTCTGGCAAAGGAATCTCTGAGACAGCTGTAGAACGGGCAAAGAAGAGTTTCATAAGAACGAGTCCCTATAAAATTTCGACAAATGACAAGTAAGTGGTTTCACTTAAATGAGAGTGAAGGCTGATATTACTAAAAATCACAGCTGTCCTTTCAGTCGTGTCATTCAGGTTTACCACAACACCACCATCCTAGGTTCTCAGACACATTTCAATGCCTCAGGTATAGGCAGGATTCTAACTCAGCCATGAACAGCTTCCCCATTCACTGAGCTCCAGACCAAACTCTCAGGTCTACTATGGAAGCCAGGTAAAAGCATGATAGGAAATAAGAAATGAATAGTCCATGAGACTACGATTTCAAAGGCCATATTCCTTTCATTTGGTGCTAAGAGAACGTGCTTAGAGTCAGAGCTCTAGGAGAAGAAGGGGCCTTCTCCTGCAGAGGAGGAATTCTGCCCCCAACACCGTGGCTCTGTTGTGGTCCTGCACTGTATGGGTTTCCACAGTGATGTGAAGGCATCAACCTCAGAAGCCACAGAGCTGAGACCCAGAGGGGACTCCAGGTAGGGGAAAGAGTGCAAGGAGCTGAAAAGACTGCTCCATGGGCCAGATAGGAGGGACCGGAGCCATAGCCTGACTCAGGCTCAAGCACCTACTACTTTCTTCACTTCAGGCAAACCTTTCTAAGTCTCAGTTTCATTAGCCACAAAAGAGAAGGCTTTCCAGGTTTAAATCTTATGGCCTGCTCTTATGACAAAAAGTTAATAATGAATGATAGATACACAGCTGTCAGTGGGGCTGGCATCTTTATCATTTTTATCATTAACAATATGAAGGACCTACTGTGTACCAGGGACAATTATCAGTGCTGAGTACACAAAGACAAACAAGCTTGATTCACAAGAAAATTATACAGAAAAGTGGGAAACTATAAGTACATGTAAGATAAACACAACATAAAGTTAAATACATATATATCAAACAATTCAATAACAAATAGTCTGAGAGGGAGGAACGAGCCGTTACTTGGGAAGGGAGGAGCAAAGGCTTCCTGAAGAAGTCAGCGCTCGAGGTCCATTCCAGGCATCAGACACAGTCAGGGCAAGGGCACAGACACAGAAGATGGAGTGCTGGGTGCCTGTGTGGGAAGTCCCAGCCAAAGGCAGAAGGGATGAGCCTTGGAAATGAGAAGGAAGGTGGCACCTCTCACAGTAACAGCTCTGTCTAGATGAGGCAGGGTCAGGGATTAAGGCCAGTTTAGTTCTAGAACTGGTGAGGTCCATTGGAAGCGTCCAACAGGCATTCAGTGACATGGGAAGGAAGCTTGGGGAAGAGACAAAAAAGAGATGCAGAAGTCTGAACTCATCCCTACAGACAGGGCAATGGGTGTAGCAGGCAACAAAAGGTTTGGAATAGCTTCAGTGGGGAATAAGACAGGGAATCGATAAGGAAGGAATAAAAGGGCTACCTTGCTACTGAGGCTGAATAACATGAATTTGTCAGCAAGGCTGTGAGCCTTCCTCTAGCAGCTGGTAAGCAGGAATGGGGGGGAGGGTGACGGAGGGCTGAGGTTTAGCAAGAGAAGGCGTCAACCAGGAAGCAAGGGGGTCTAGAGCAGGAAAGGACCCAGGCACAGTGGCTGACTGGCGGGCTGAGCCTGGAAAGAGAGAAGCAGTCCTGGAGGGCTCAACGAGGGTCAAAAAGAGGTTTACAGAGAGTGCTGACATGGAGGGGAAAGAAATCACAGTCAAAGAGGATGGCAGAGCTTCTAACTAGGGAAGCTGAACATTTGTAAGTAATGACAAGATCTAATGTGTGACCACCCCAGGCATGGGTTAGAGTGGAATGAAGGTCTTGGAATTTGAGGGTAAGGAACTAGGAGATGATAAACAATTGATGCAAACGTTCAGTTCCCCTAGAATAAGGAAAGGAATTATCAAGGAACAGCGGGTCGTGAAGCAGAAGCTGAATGCCATGAGAAAGGATGGAGAATGATGACGGGGGCATGGAGGGATAGATGTACAACAGACACTAGAATCTGGACTGGGTAGTCATCAAAAGAAAGGCCACTGAATGCATAGTTAGAGCTTGCAAGGAGAACAGAAATTCAAGTCCAGGACTAATACAGAGTGGGAAGGGGCTGGGAATGCCAGGATTGAGGGAAGAGTGAAAGAGAGGGGGAGGGGGGAAGGGGAAAGGCGTGCAGAGAGAGAGTGCGTGTGTGTGTGCAAGCACATGTGACAGACAGATGAACAGACAGGTACACACACAAAGACAGACACACACAGAGCCAGTACTGGAGAAATCATTCAGGGATACAGGAGCCAGGCCAAGGTAATATTAGATGAAGAGGAGGAGACTGAGAATAGATTTTTTTCACCATGAAACAGAAATTTCAGCAGGTGGAGTAAAAAGAGCATGCAAAAGAAACACTGATGACTCTAATAGGTTGACAGAAATATTCCACCCACTTAGAAAACAAGATATTAAAGTGTATTGCCTCCTAGAACAAAATACAAAAAGCCTGAATGCAGAGGTGGTAAACAACACTAATTCTACCCCAGACCCAAATCCTAAGATTTACTAAAGCCACAGGACAGCAATTCAGAAGTAAAGCCCCAGCTTAGGCTCGGGCTCAGTGACAATAGTGAAGCCGAGGTGTCACCAGGTAGAATGACCGTACCTGAGGTAGCCAAAGCAAGGGACTTGCTTCCTACAGCACTGTTCATACCATTATGGGAATTAGCACCAAACTGTTTTTCAAGTGTTGCTGAAGTAGATTCTCGATTCTGATGAACTGGACTAGGTGTGTTCCTCTGCAGAGGAAATGAATACACCTTGTAATTGAAGACAAATAACATATACTATCAAACATCTATTTGCAGTTACCAAAAAAAGTTAAAATAACCCATCCTGAAGAATAAGAGCTTGACAACAACACAGAACTGAGCAGTACGCATGAGTCAGGCCTAGCACCAAGCTGCAATAACTGCTACATGGAAATCAAGGGTCCAAAACTTTGCCCAAAAGAACATTTCAGTTCAGACTTCCCTCCCAATACCACCCCCCCAACAAAAGAGGAAACTGTCAGTTCAACAATATTTCTATAATACAGAAATCCAATTTTCCCCTGAAATGAAGCTCTCTATGTAATAATTTTGAGTCTTCAATACCATGGTCTCAGATTAATTCAAGTTGCACGCCTCTCAGTGGGTTAGAGAAGGATAAGGCAGAGTTGGGTAGACTGAAGCAGTGAGGAGTTGAAAGAGAAAGAAAGAAAGTGAGTAAAAAGTAGACAGAGAGACTGTATACTCTACAGCCAGCACGAGGAATCTACCCTTGTAGGGAGACACCAAGGAGAATCCCCAGAAGGAGAAAGCAGGAGAGCCTGGGAATGACCCCCAGCGCCTCTACTCACCACTTTCTCCGCACGGCTAGGCAACACTACACTGGCCAATGGGATACTGACAGGAAGCTTATTGGGCTGCACTGTGCTCAGAGGAATACTGATAGGGAGGCTGGTGATTGTTTCTCCATTGCTGGCATAGGCTCGCTCTTTTAAAACCTGTAACACAGAATGATTCTTTTAAATACAGTAAAGCAAAGTCTCTAAAAGAATAAAACTGAATCCTAACATACTAAAACTCAGGCCAAAACATTACAGAAGGTGTGGGGTCTGCAGCAAGACTTTATTCCACCTTCATTCCTACTTTTTTTCATTATTTCCTCTCATATTTTTGTTCCTTCAAAAGACTTTTGCTTAGATCTGCAAAATATTCTCTAGGCCAGCAGTTCTGAAACTTGTGGTCTGGAGACTTACAAGGGTGGGTCAATCAGGTCAAAACTACTGTCATAATAAGATGCTTTCGTTTCTATACAGTAAATATTGATAGATATGATCCACATAAGTCAGAGCTGTTTGGGGTCCTCAATTAACTTTGAAGAGAGTATGTACAGGGCTCTTGAGACCCAAAAGTTTGAGAACCACTGCTGTAGGCACTGTGATTACTGAAGTACCAAGTCTTAAGCTAATTTAGGTGGTATTGTTAGTTTTGTTGCATTGGCACTGGATAGCCACAAGCAATGAATGAATACTTCTCCAATTACTTAATTTGATATTTATTTCTTTAAGGAACATGTTATTATTGTATTTATAAAGAATGAGTGTGCTTTGCTGGTTTGACTCCAAGATGTTTTATGCATTCTGTAGCTATTCTGAACTGAATTTCTTTTTTTATTTTTCGCTCCTGTATTTTCTTAATCACTAAATAGAAGTATTGTCAATGTTTGTGAGTTTATTTCATATTCTAGTACTTTGCTGAAGCTATTAAGTCCCTCAATTTTTTTCTTCATAGATTTCCCCATTAGGACCTAATTTTAAAATATAGAAAAATATAGAACAGACCACATAAAGAAGACTCCAAAGGCTAAATAATAATAACCCAGTGAACAATAAACCTGAAAACACAAACTGCCTAAGAAAGAACTCTCTATTTGAAAAGAAATGCTAAGAAAACTAGAAAACAATCAGGAATAAATTAGGTTTAGACTAACATCTTTCATATGCCACAATTAATTCAGAATTTGTCTCTCTGAGAAGAATCTACAACCCAGGATATATCAGCAACATAAATATATAAAACAAAACGCCATTCCCCAATAAATAGTAAAAAGCTATGAACAAAACATTCTCAAAAGAATTCCAACTATGAAAGAAAGTTCCAAATCACTACCAATAGAAATGCAAATCAAAACAGGTCTGAGGTTTCACCTCATTCCCAGCAAGTTAGCAAAGATGACAAAAGGTATGTATAATCAATGTTAGAGGGGCTGTGGAAAGATGGGCACACTAACATCCTACTGGCAGAGTTGTCAATAGGTCTAACTATTCTGGAAAAAATGTTGGGATGATGCTCTTTGGTCCAGAAATTAAACTGCTAGACATATCCCTGCATAGAAGCAAAGAAATGGAAACAGACAGTGGTATGCATCACTGCACCCTAAGAACTGAACATGAAGAATACACAAGATGCAGAGCTAGACTAATGTGGACTGATGCAAAGAAGTACACAAAATTAGGAACACAATATACACGATGACTAGAACAAGGTACATGGAAAAAAACAAGAACAAAATTAGCACAACTAAAAGATGTAAAATGATAAATGACGAAGCTGGGCCCTAAAAAAGAGATTTACAAAGGCACCTCCTGCCCCTTCTGAGCAGGGTTTGGGGTCTGAGTATGAACAATGCATAAAACATGAGACATGTTGGTTGTGTGGGTTAGCTTATTTCCCCCTCTTTTTTTATTTTTTATAAGGGATCAAAATGTAGGTGATGTAAAAACAAATGTTATAAACAAAAATTTTATTGGAAATAAAGCAAACCAGACAGGCAGGCACTCAGCAGCAAAGGGCACTATTCCTCCAGCAAGATGGAACCCTAGCCTCAGCAATGGAGAACATTCTGTTAGAAGCCATGACCTATCCTGAGCTGACATAAATTCACCCTTCCAAAAATCCTCACCTTGTCACTGCTCTTCTCTCCTGCAATCTGTAAGGCCGAGGGGGAGGAAGGCCGAGTTTCCTGAGGGCTCAGCTTTAGGCCATTTGACATACCAGGACTCTGATATGTCAGGCCATTCTCTTTTGCATGTTCAGCTCTGGAATGAAGAGGCACCAAGTTCATGTCTGGTTCACGTGCCCTCTCTTGCATGAGGCTGATCCTGAGCCCCCTCCCTCTCTAGATACTGCTTTGTTAACTACTTGTCAATTTTCCCCTGCAAATTGGGTTATACTTCACCCCAGCAGAATGTAAACCCCCTGAGGTCAGGGGTTGTTTGATCTTAGTATCCCCAAGATCTCGTATGGTGACAAGCACAGAGTAGGGATGTAAGGGAAGCAGGAGGCTGGCTACCAAAGGATTCACAGGATCCGAAGTTCTTTGGTAGGAATGGTAAGCTTAACTCTTGAATTCTCTAGGCACAAATGCATACAAGGTAGCCAAAACCACCATGCTTTGTTCCCCCTCTTCCATTCTCTCCCTGACAACCCAAAACACACATTTTTGCTCACCTGTGGTGTATTTCATTAGCTGTAGCTTTTCCATGGACTACATGATCCTGATTCAAGTGTCTCCTTAGGGCTAACTTAGCAGGGGAATACCTGGTGTAATCAGGTAAGGACAAACTTGACAGCTTGTCTGCCTTCTGTCTGTTGTTATGAATGGGGGTACAAGGAACTATTTCTTGGTCCAGGTGAGAGGTCAGATACTGTGGAGTGTTTTGTTTGGAAGAAGGTCGGCTAAGCATACTATGAATCTCATAGGTGGTTGCATGGCCATTCATAGAGAGTTCGGGGCTCATGCTATTGAGGTGGGGCAAGGACAACTTGGAGCATTCCAGCTCCAGCTGGAACCTGGCAGGGTCAGTCTCCAGCTCTCGGCTGAAACTGCTTTTACTTCGAAGGTGGACGGACAGGGCCTCATCAGCTGGCGCGTAGGATTTCAGCTGCAGTAGTTCCTGCTGCCTTTGGCTTTTCTCAAGCTCCACAATGCTGATCTTTACAACAAAGAGGATCAAGGGAGACACAATGAAAGGCGGCGCCCAGAAGACCAGATTCCCCCCACCATGCCTCCCCAAGACATTTCTACGTAGCAGCTTCTAGGGCAAAGTTATCTTGTTGAGGGCCTGAAATAAAAGAGGATTTGATATGCTGTGCAGAAAGCATACGGCTGAATACAGACCATTAACCCAATATGAGACAAAAGGCACGTGGACACTAAAAAAGGACATTACAATTTGGAAAAACGTGTGCTATGAAAATATTCCATTTCTTTCAAGTAAGTTTCATTCATTATTATCAATGTTTGCTTATCTCAATCCTGAAATGACCAATAATAAAAATGAATTCAAAAAGTAAGACAATAAGCCCATTTCAGATAATTGAACAGTTTTATAAAGTGCTTTCCTGACAATGGATTTGAGCTAAGTTATACTAGTATTTCCCCCTTGACAAATGAAAAAACTGAGGCGAAGAAAATATGACTTGCCTATCATGGGGTTACTAATGGTTTTGTTTTTGTTTTTGTTTTTTTGGCTAGGCAATGGGGTTAAGTAACTTGCCCAGGGTCACACAGTTAGTATTATGTGTCTGAGGCCAGATTTGAAATCCTGTCTTCCCGAATCCCGGGCTGGTGCTCTATCCATGTCGCCACCAAGCTGCCCCAGATGGTTTGCTTTTCTATAGCATTCTAAAGTTTGAAATGTTCCTTCTAGAGATATCTCATTTCATCCTCCCAAGGGCCCAATGAGCTCACAATTAGAATAATCATCACTTTTTTACACAGAGGGAAATCTGAGGATGAGAAAGTTTATTTATTTGCCCAAGGTCGGATAAGCTAGCTAAGTGAATGACATGAGATTCAAAACTTGGGTCTTCTTGTCAGCAAGTGCAGTGCTCTATCCACTATGCTCCAGCTACCTTTAGAGTAGAAGTAGAGTAAGGACAAGTCTTCCAGATTCATTATTACACAGAATTCGCCAATCTCAAAAGCATGCTTTATAACATGATCACTAAAGTAGGTCTAAACTTATAACCACATTAAAACTAATTGAAGCCAAACCAAAGAATTCCCATCACATTCAATTCCACTACCATTGATTGAGCTGTGCATTCAAATATCCTGAGGAGCTTTAACAGTACTCCAATAATACAAAATGCCAGGAAGTCAAGCTGACCAACGTCGTGGATCCCACCCGCTCCCCAAAGGCAGAACAATGTGGAGAAGCCAGTGAATCCGATCAGACAAAGTGACTTTCAGAATGCAAAGGTGTCTAAAGAGATGTAGGGGTACACTTTCCTGCTTTTCCTACCAAAAAGAAAATCTGAATCAGAAAATAAGGCCAAGTAGCTAAGTATGGTCCCATAATAAATGAGACAGTAATCAACACTAGTAATATTTCAGAAAACCAGAAGTGTGTTAACAACTCTGAATGTGTGGTATATGCTTGAGAACTGGGATGGCTGATTGGAGAGAAGTAATCTTATTATAGTCACAGAATGCACACAATGCCAGATTAACTACAAATCAAGAGATCAATTTATTTTGTCACCCATAAGCACTCCAGATACTGCTTATGATAAGGGAATTAATTATCCAGTCTCCTCATTGTTCAATAGTCAAATGATACTCAAGAACGACAGGACTCTAGCAATACCACACTGAGCGACCCGATAGTCAGTATTCAAGGAAAAACATTTCTATTTGAAGGCTAGTTGCCCTGATCACTCCATGCTGCACACATATATACTCGCTCACTTTGTCCTGTGTTATATGTCTTTCTCAAGTTTAAAACTATTGTTGGGTGTAAAAAAAAAAAAAAAAAACTACACCTGCCACAAGTCCTGGTTCTGGTACTCACATTACTTCTATGATCTTGGGAAAATCTCTCCCACCCTTCAGACTTCCATTTCATCCCTTGAGGTGGCTGGACTGACTAGATAATGAGGAAGTTTCCTGCCAATTAACACCACACGATGTGTGACAGATAGGCCACACTCCTGCCCTGGTCACAATGCCTACCTGAAGTTCCAGACAGTGCTTTTGCTTCTCAGAAATTTGGTTCTTCAGTGCCTGCTTCTCCTTCAGCAAATTTTCCAGTGAGAGAGTAGACCAATCCAGCTTCAGCTCTTCACACCGAGCCTTAAGCTAGAGGGAAAAGTTAGGGAAGGATTAGTAAGAACACAAAGGCTACAACAAAATTCCCCTGTATTGGTCTTCTCTCTAAAATGTGAGCATATACCATAATAGAGTGGAAAATGCCAATACATTCCAAGGTTTTTTTCCAAAGAAATAAAGACTTATCTTGCTGATAACCAATACTATTTATCCCCCTACAACACAGAGAAAAACTATTAAGTACAAAACGACATGTGGCTAAAAGTAAAATAGGCATTGAAAGACTTTAGGAAGAAAACATAGTTGCTCACAATGAATACAAGTCATTATATCTAGATGTGGCTTATGGGTGTGGCTGCTGAGTTACAATCAGGATATAAGAAAAAAGTACAGAATACAAAAGATACATATTTCCCAAGACCTAGGTACACAGTCAAGAGTCCTAATTTTGAGTCATTAGGAAATGCATTATTAAAGGGATAGTTTGCAAGTACTCAGAGAAAGAGAAGCAGTGAAGACTATAAGGCAGCACAGGCTCATTAAGGGAAAAAAATTCTGTGGAATGGCTTCATTATAGAATTAACAGATTAGTAGAATAGCTCCAACAATACGGCAATAGGGGGCTTATCTTTCTACAGCCCCACCCACATGATGACCGTCATCTTTTGTCATCTTTACCAATTTGTTGGGTGCGAGGGAAAACCTCTGGCCTCTTTTACTTTCCTCTTATTCTTGCACAAGTTGTGTGTCTTGTACAATCAAAGAGGTGGCAAGATTGTGGCCATCTCTAAATGATCAGCCCCTGAATAAAATACAGCTATAATCACAGGATGGACACAGAGACAGGAGAATTTAAAAAAAGAACTGATAGTTTAAGGTCTAAGAGGACATACATCATCACAACTCTTCCACAGAGCTAATACACACCTATACCCAAAGACAATCATAGACACCAATGTTGGAGGTGCTGTGTGAAAATAGGAACGTTACACTTTTGGTATTGGTGTTAATATTAAGGTCATGATCTCATAGAAAACAGTACCTAATGATGAGAGAAAAGATACATCACTGTGTTGATCCATCAATTCCAGTACTGGCTTTATAGCCTAATCTCAAGGAGGAAAAATAAAAAGAACACACTCTTTTTATGATAGGAAAAAAAATCTGACATCATCTGGGAAATGGCTATGTTTCAAGAATGCAATGAAATGTTTACTTTATGGTAGGAAATTGCAAATATGAGAACTCCAAAGTCTTCCCATGTTGCTCTAAACAGAAGCAGAGTCTGGGGAAAGTAGAACCAGGAGAATACACAAAATTACTTATAATTATGTAAATGAATAAACAAATTCAGATCAAATACAGGTGACAAATGATGGATCCAGATGACTAGAAAAAAAATACTTTTCATTTATTGTGAAGAAACTGCAAACTATAACTGAAATGCTATGTTCCTTCAAGAAAATTTGACCTGTCAGATGGTTTCAATTTTTAAAAATTTTAGTGAAAAACACTTAAAATGAGAGGTTACCAAAAAAATGAAAGGTATGTCAAAACAATTCATCACTAAAACATGCTTTAATTTTAAAAATCATACTAGCCAGTTTTCTAGGTTATAGGAATGCTCAACTGAAACAAGATTTTTTTTTGGTTTTTTTTTGGTGAGGCAACTGGGGTTAAGTGACTTGCCCAAGGTTATACAACTAGTAAGTGTCTGAGGCTGGATTTGAACTCAGGTCTTCCTGACTCCAGGGCTGGTGTTCTACCCACTGCACCACCTAGCTGCCCCAAGATTCATTTTTAAAAGAAATGTGATTTTCACACTTGTTTTCACTCAAATACACAAAATTGGGATTATGGCATCCGTCAATTCGTGGTTGGAAGGTGTTTGAGTTATAGGAATGTCCTTACCAGCTGCAAGCTTTGGTTCCTGAGTTCACTGTTATCACTTTCTAGCTGCTTTGTCTGTTCTTTTAGCTGTTGGTTGTGAGCAGAGATCTCTTTCTGAGCTTGTATCAGATCGTTGTAGGTCAGAGCCTTAACTCCCAACTGGAAGAAAATATATTTACATAGTATATAATTATATAATGATGAAGGCTAGCTAGTCCTTCCCCACTTACCAAAGAATCAAGAAATCTGAGAGCTGAAAGGACTCATCAGTCACCTAGGCTGACATGTGCCCATTTCTGAGAAGGAGCAAAGTATTATGCGAGGCTCTCCCTGAAGGATTCCAAAGATATGGAGCCTACTACCCACAGAGGCTAATAATCCAGCTGCTTCTGGACAGCCTCTAATTGTCAGCAAGCTCTTCTTGACATCCAGCCTAAATCTGCCTCTTTGCAATTTCTGGCCATCTGGCTACTTCCTGGGATCGCACACCAACTACGCAAGGTGATGGGCTCATTTCCCCTCAAACAGCTTCATGAGTTGAAGGTCTATATATAAAAAGAATGATTTCACAGCCAAACCAGTGGCTGCCCAACACCAAACCTGCCAGCCGGCCCTATACAAGAACTGAGAGGGGGAGGCAAAGGGAAGGGGTTTCTTAAAGACAGTGCATCACAGAGATGCAGAGAAGAGTTTATGCTTTTATGGAAACAGGACATAACCCCAACATATATTTATTATGTAGTCACAGTCCTATCTCTGTCCCGTAACATGAATACGCAAATACAACCACCCCCAGATGGGCCCCCTCCAACCCAACTGTACCCATACCTCATCAAGTTTCTGTTGAAACAGTCTCTTGATCTCCTCTTTTTGAGCCTGACAGTGGCTGAACAACTGCTGGGCTGTACCTAACAACTGAGTGTTCTTTTCCTGCAAGGAAAGGGAACAAAGAAATAGGAAGGAGTCAAAACCCATGTCAGGACAAGCACGTGGCACCAGAAAAGATGGGAGAGCTGAAACTAAGAAAACAGAGACAAAACAAGATGGAAAGCAAATTGGGAAGATAGCCTGGAATAGGAGAAAAAGCAGGGTCTTTACCAGATGCCAGCCCTGCCACTGAGTGACCAAATTAGGTGACACTGGAGCAGCCTCAACCTCTTCTCAAAGATAGGATGAAGAAAAGGGCTGTGAGACCTTCAAGGTGCTTATCTTCACCATGACCCTAGGGCTTCATCTACCGACTAGTTTTAAGTCTCCAACTGAAGGCCCAGAGCTGGCACATGCGCTGCTCTCTCCTGATTTCTATGAACTCTCTCCCACTGTGAATCATGGCTAAATTTATAAGCCACAGTTAGATGATATATCTCATCCTCATACTGACCCAGGAAAAGCCTGAAAGCACAATAACAGGCTCTTCTTATGAAAAGGAATATCACTTTACTCTCTTTAAGGAGAACAGATGTCTGTTACCACAATGCCTCTCAAGCTCCAGAAATGCTTGGATTGAATCATGGGGATCATCTACTTTGGACAGGCAATAGGTTGTTCAAGTCAAATGAAAGTAACACAGTTAAGTGTACATTAGCAAACCAGAAAAAAATTTATGTTTAATTCTCAATAAAAATTAAATTTGGACTCTGATAAATCAGAAAGCACTTCAGGATTTTATATCCAACATTAAAATTTTACTTAAAAAACCATGACTCACATGCAGGGCATTGTGGTAAGAACTGGTGACATAAAAACAGCAAACAAAAAAGCCAGGATGAGCCAGAAGAGGGAAGGAAGGGCAATAAAGGGAAGGCTTCCAGGAATGGCACTGCAAACATGGAACTGATGTACATCTTTTGTCTCAAGGAAAAGACTGACAGGAAAGTTAAACAGGCACTCTGGTTAATTTGTAAAAGGCGAGGAAAAGGGAAGGCAATATTCTTGCCTTCCTCCCAATCTGTCTAAATGGCATGCATGGACATAGTTTGACAGCACCTGGTGAGAAAAGAGGGATATAAGAGAAGATTAACACTATTTCAGAAAAAGTAGCTGATATTTAAAATGATTTTGTATTGTCTGGCTGTACATAATCACAGTGGCCACTACATACCAAGATATCCTGAACCTGAACTGGGGTTGAGTCCCTTACACCTGTCAATTCTGTTCTATTTGGACACCTTTTACCTCGCCATTTTTCTGATCTATGTTAAAGGCTGGTAAAGATGAAGAAAAGGTGTATCAAGAATGGGCTGCATTAAGGACAAAATGGTGCTTTGGGCCACATTTTGTCACACTCACCTTCTCCTGCTCCACCAACTGCTGTAGGTTTGCCTTGTACTGAGGGGTTTTCATGTAGGCCAGGAACTGCAGGTACTGAACCTTAAATGATTCTACAAAGGAAGATAGAAAGTACATTTAATTAAAGCAACTAATGAACCAGCAAACACTCATTACGTAAGCATCTACTATAACACACAAATTCCAAGCATTTTAGTATAAATTTTTTTTTCCAAATGGGACAAAATAGGCAGAGAGAGGTCAAGTACCTGACCAGTCACCCTGGGAGTCAGTGGCAAAGTTGGGGCTCAATCCCAAGTGCCCTGATTCCAAATCCACTGGCTACAACTGAATACTGTCTTCAGGTCAGGTGCTTCCTAATCCTGGTAGGGTCTAATCTGGATCAAAAGGGAAGTTGGACACCAAAAGACAAGAGATTTTCCAAGCTCTTAAGAGGCCAAATTTAACAAGTGTCATCATTAACCATTCCTCACCAGTAAAAAAAACCATGACATTATACACATCAAGTTATTTTAGATGTGGGCAATATGTCCAATAAAGCAGCTTTCACTCCAGGTAAAACCAACATTCCAAGCTCTGATACCACACCAAACAAAGCAAACCTAGAGACTTGGTAGGGAAAAAAAGGACAAGAGGGAGAAAGAAAAAGAGTGAAGAATACTTCACTTCATTCCGTACTAAACAAAGCTGGAAAGAGGAAGCTTTTCCTTTCTCTGTAATGAAAGGTTAGCACACCCAGAAAGTCTCCCCTATGTGTATGAATCTTTGAGCTACAGTTAATTGTTGTCAGGTCATTTATTAAGTGTCTCCCACCTAATGCAGGAAAGATGCCACTCGTGATCAGCAACCATCTGAGCACTCCTATCTCCGAGAATTTACCTTTAGCGTCAAGAGCTAAGCTGAGCCGAGCCAAGACAAAAAAGAACAGATTTCCTCTTTCTTATATTTGGGGTTTACTTCTGGGATGATTCTGTGCAACTTGATTCAGTCAAAGGGTCCCTTCCCATACCCAGGACCCACTCCCATTAACTGAAGCTTTCAAAAGAGTTCTGGAGCAACAGGTAGGTGGCACAGTGGATAGAGCGCCGGCCCCTGAGTCAAGAGGACCTGAGTTCAAATCGCACCTCAGACATATGAAACTTACTAGCTGTGTGACCCAAGGCAAGTCACTAAACCCCAACTGCCTCACCAAAAAGAAAGTTTTATTTGGTTATCTATTTCTCCCAACCCTCACCCCTATCTTTTCCACTCCTGTTCAGTTAAGTGGCTAAATTAAAATCTCCACTCTTGTCTACCCCCTCTAAATTCAGTGGGAGTTTTTGAGCGACTCCATTTTCTCTAAAAATAATTTCTCTGCTTTTCTATTCCTGTGTATTCTTAAACTATATTCTCTGATAAATGGTCTAAATTCTTATTTATTCCTTCTTTAACATTTTTCTGTTCCTCGTGGAGTTAAATTTCTGAAATACACAATTTAAAAATTCTCTTCTAACCAAATGTTATAGAAATTGTCTTTACAGAATTCATACCGTTGTCCCCCCCCCTTTTTCCCTTTATGCCTCATTCACAAAATATTAAATCATGAAGCAAGTAAAGCGAACACTAGCAGTATCCCATGGTAGAAAATACAATGTCCCAAATCATGTGGTAAGATTCTACTCCAACATCGCCGTGACATTCTCTTTCCCGTTAGCACCATCATTTTATTTAAGTCCATATCACTCATACACAATCCAACTATCTGGGTGACAGTTGCCCCTAAGAGCTCAGATTTTCCCTCCTACAGCAGGATGTTGTTTATGGAGGCACAACACTCTTGGTGAATGGAGTTTCCCAATATACCAACTAATTCCAGATTGAACCCAACTACCATCACAGGCATACACCCCTTCTGCCAGTAGAGGGCTCTTCACTGGATTCCCTCCCCTTTCACTTACCCACTTTTAATACCACCTGCCTCTTCCAATTTCCTGCAGTCCCTCTTCTTGCTGAGAGGGCCCCATAGTAGAAATGACCTCGTGTCCAGTTCTACACCTCTAGTCCTATCATAATTATCTCCTACTGGTGCCATCTATCTCATCTCTGGGTCCATCTCTCCTCCACCCTTTCGGTTAGTTTTAGTTAAATCAATTGTCTCTTTCTTATTATATTATTATCTTTATTATATGGGATGGATTTCAAGGGTTACAGTGGTTAACTCTCAAGGGTTAAAAGAGCTTACCAAGATAATACAGACTTCTTTTTTTAAAATAGCTATTCTGTTCAGCTAGCTCCACCCTGGTCATGAATCAGATGTAGAATAAGCATACTAAAATCACTGAAACAATTTTCTGATCTATGAAACTTTCAGTTGTCATCTATGCAGAAACATTTTGGAAGAGAGAGAGCCAACAGGTAGACTGAGGTAGCAATTAGAACATTTCTCATAATGCTACTTAATGTCATGGAATGACATCTTGGAAAACATGAGACTGACTAGGGCTGGTATGCTACCTTTCACAAAAGGGGTACGTGACAATCTCCACTCGGATGAAATGGAATGAGAATTTGGGAAGCTCTGAAGAAGACAGTACCAAGAGACTGCATTCCAGGGACAGGGGGAGGGACAGGCTGAGACAAGGGGTGGCGCAATAGGCCAGATTTTAACTTGTTTGGGACAGTGTTTCCTATAATCCTTAGCCCCCGCGAGACTTCTCAACAGATGGGAGCTAGTATATTAGCTAAAGAAAAAATGATTACGAGTGGATGACTATCAAATTACTTCAGCAGACAATCTTAATAAGCCTGCTCTGAGGATGCTGGAGCCCTGAAAGCAGAAGGCTCTGGTTACTAATCATTGAAACCATCTAGGACTCCAACCCACATTATGAACCCAGTGTAGCCGCACTCACACAAACCCTGGAAGGCACAGGCCAGGTGACATGTGTAGACAAAGGGACATTACCTAACAGCTTCTGCAGTGCAGGCGGGGTTGGAGTTGCCAAGAGCTGGTTGGAGGAATGCCGTTGTACTTTAGGAGGTAGTTGATAATATGGACTATGAGGTGACTTGTATGCATCTAAGTAGAGAAAACAAAACATGTTCCATAGTTGAAAAGAGAAAAAAATTGGAGGAGTCAGAATCCTGGCTGAATTTTATCCTGTGGGGCTTTCTGTATTTTTGGATGGACCAATTCTCTATCTTGTAAATGTGAAGGTGAATTCTACTCATAGCATACAAACAAATAACCCTCAACTGCCACTTCTCGACTTGGGTATACTACATACAAAGTCATATTGAAATATTACATAATTAGGGAAGGAGGAAAGAGGGAAGGTGACTGCAAATGTTATCAAAGTGAGAATCATGGAGGAGATAAAGAGCACCAGATTTTGATTTACACAGTGAACAGCAATGAAAAAAAGGACCAGATGGTGCTCTACCCACTAGAAATACTAGTTTGTGACCACTATTCTCTTTTCCCAACATCTTTAAAGAAAATCAATGAGAAGAACTAGTGTTAACTGAGGAGAGAGGGGAAAAGACATCTTTTAAACAAAGGAGCTCGTGCAGTTTCTAGGGGCTGCCGTAATTGATAAACATCATGTTCAATATGTCCACGATTATGACACCAACTTCACATGTGGTAGAAGCACAGAACATTTTACAGATGAGCAAACTGTGGCAGTGAGGTTAAGTGGTCCTAGGATAATCAGGTTCAGATTTGTTTTGGACACTGAAAGAGAAAATGAATGGCCCAGAGTCTCATAGCCAGCCTCTATCAACAGATAAACATTTACACAGTTCTTTCTCACTGCACTGTGTTTCACATACTTATTATTTGCTGGAATTTCTCAAGGAAAATGGAAAGAGGAAAGCAGAACTAAGGCTGTCCTTCAAAAAGGGCAAGATCTTTCTCTTCCCTGCCTACCCAGCTTTCCCCAAATAAAAGCTTTCCATGGTTCTGTGGCTGTTGAAAACGGGGTCAACATATTGGTGTATATTGTCAGGTCTGGGCAATGCCAAGGCCCTTACCCTGAGGGGAGGATGCAGCTGCCTGGGACACAGTCTGAGCATGCAGAAGCTCCAGTGCAGTTGGGGTCTTCTTGGGTTTCCGTTCAGGGTTTGCAGCACTCATTTTCTTGGGGCGTCCACGTTTTCTTCCTGCCAGCTTCCTTCCTTTTTTGTTTAATTTCTTTTTGCGAGGCTTGGAAGGAGATGGCTTTTTAAGAGCAGCCGTCCCATTTTTATCTTCCTCAGCACCAGAATCCTAAAGAAAAGTGGGGGTGGAGGTAGGGATGGGAATCAAATAGAAAGAAAAGTACAAGAAACAAGGCTCACAAAGCAGGTTGGGTTGGGTCAGAATTAACTCTCCTGGCCTAAAGTTTTAAAAATTGATAATATGTAACACCAAAGCTAGAATCACTTTAACCACCAACTTAAACACTTCAATTCTTGCTTTCTTGGTTAACTGTCATTTTTCTTCTCCAAAGTCAAAAAAAAAAAGGGATTCATCAAGTAGCATCTGTTATTTATTGACTATCCAGGTCCCCAGTGGTCACACTGTCACCAATGGTTAACAACCCCAGGCCTCCTCTACATGGAAGTGTGTTCTCTTCAGCTACATGAATGGTGATGAGCTCACATTTCTAGAATGCTTTTAAGGTTTGCAAATCAATTCATAGCTATTATTTGATCATCAAAATAACCCTGTAGAGAGTAAAGGCTAAGAATACTCTTATTTTCTCAAGAGAAAACTAAGGCTGAGAGAATTTCAGTCATGACTTGCCCAGGGGCACACAGCTAGCCTGAGGCAGTATTCAGAGCCAAGTCTCCAGATTCCAAGTGCAGCCCCCCTAACAACTAGGTCAGGCTGCCCCTTTGCCTGGAGCCACTTCCAACTTCAATACCCCGTGGCTGCAATTAGGCTGGAGACACTGTGAAATCAGACTTTCTGTCAAGGACACCTGAAAACAACAAGGTAGGATAAAACTCGGCAATCTGTGCCCGTAAGAATGCTTTCCTTCAACAGTGTCAGGGGGTTCAGACAGACATTTACCACTCGAGGCTCCAAGGCAACGGCTCCCTTGCTCTCCTGGACCTTGGTTGGAGTCGTCGTGTTGCTCTTGCTTTCTCTTTGCTGTCGGCGGCGGGCTGCCTCCTGCTCCTCCTAGGAGGGGATGTCACAGTGTCAATTCAATGTACACTCGGAATCATGACCTGAATGCACAACTGCTCAACACTGTGCCTCAACCTCAACTACACAAAGAGCCAAGCACTTACATGCAAGCATGCTCTCTTGGAATATAAACCATCTGACTGCTATGTATTTGGGAGGGGGGGGCCTAGGCAACGGGGTTAAGTGACTTGCCCAGGGTCACACAGCTAGTAAGTGTTACGTGTCTGAGGCTGGATTTGAACTCAAGTCCTCCTGAATCCATGGTCGGTGCTCTATCCACTGCACCACCTAGCTGCCCCAAACTTTGTGCGTCATTAGTCCTTCATTCTCTTTTCTTTCTTTTTTTTTTTCTTTTTAGGCAATTGGGGTTAAGTGACTTGCCCAAGGTCACACAGCTAGTAAGTATCAAGTGCCTGGTCTGAGCAAGCACACTTGAATTCCCAGGAAACTGAACTTCTCCAAAACTGAATGTGTGTTAGATGTTTCTTTGGCATCTGGACCTGTGATTTCATCGGTGTAGGAAATTCCCAGTGAAAATTCTCTCACTGATCAACAACTAATCTGTAACTGAGGGTTCCAGGGGCACCGAGTGCCCTTGGTCATACTTTAAAATGAGGCTTTTGAAGTAGAGAAGATGTAACTCAACAATCCAGGGTAGGAGATGGCAATAGGTAGAGAGGATGGAGGGATGGAAAAGCACTAGGATCCACCAATAAAAGGAAGCCAATACCAGACAACGATTTCTAAACAGCTGTTAAACTGAAGACACCCTTTGTAACAACAAATAGTCACCCCTGACCCTGTGCTTCACCATCTCCTAAAGGAAATAATTTCAAACTACAGATAGCTGCATAACAATACATACATAAACTAGTATTACTGTTTACTGATATGCAGAAGAAAAAGACCACCATGCAAAAAACAAAAAACAAAACAAAACAAACTTACCCTGAGTTTAGGATTTTTGAGACTAGAAAAATAGTTTTCAAGCTGAAAGGGGGAGAAAAAAGCAGATTATTTTTAAGTACTCCTTTCTGACGACCCCTCAAATCAAGATTTGCCCACTATTAAGGAGTTTTTTCTGTGATAAGGAGTTATAATTAGCTTTTTGGATCAAGAGGCCAATCCCAATTGGAATAAAGCCATATCTGATTACAAATCTCCAACCCGCCAACCAGAAGTCATTCCTTTCTCCTCCACTGTCTCACACTCCTACAATGTGACCATCACTAGGTGAGTTACCATTTGTTTTCTCTAAAACTGGCATCCATATCTCATTCCATATCCTAGACTACAAGGTGTGTGAGGGTAGGGATTACTGTTCTTCACCACTGGGCATAAAAAGTACTTCTAAAAACGGGCGTTAAATTTAACTGAAGTCTCACCTCTCCAATAGAAAAAGAGCTGGGACACAAAGCAGGTCAGTCAAAGGAAATCACTAAGAGTAGGGTAAAAATGAAGAACAGGGCAAAAACACAGACTACATTGAAGATTAAATTAAAGCATGAATCTGCCATTTAACACTGATAAAAACAGTGAATAGATGGAACAAATGAGAAAGAAAGAAAAGCAAGCAAGCAATTTGTTAGTATTCAGAAGAGAATGGTTGTTCAGAAGCAGTTCCAGTGCATTTCTGACAGGAGAGAGTCCTATCTGTCCTGTCACAGTTGGGCTCACATTCTTATCACGGGCAGGAATAGGGTGGAGTGGGAGTGAGACAGACTATCAAGACCTCCAGAATGCAAAAGTGAGAGAGAAGAGACCAAGTGAGCCACTAACATATCTCAGTGGGGATACTTACTATGGTTCGATCAATAGTATGCAGGTAGTAAGAAACTGGCTTGCCAGTCCATGAAACCGACCCTTTCAGTGGTGATAGCTCCACAACTCTCATTATAGTGCCAATATCTAAAGACAAAAAAGCTGGTTAGCTATGAGCAATTCAGGAGCCAGAGCTAAGCCCTTGCCCTCTGTGTACACACTGAGAGAGAGAGAGAGAGAGAGAGACAGAGACAGAGACAGACAGAGACAGACAGACAGACAGACAGAGAGACAGAGAGACAGAGACAGAGACAGAGAAATATTATACCAGGTAAAGACAGAAAGGAGGGAAATAGCCTAATCAAGTTTTCAGAAACTCAGCAGCCATTTTCCCTCTGTTACTTTCCTATACTCAGTTCAAAAGTATGAAGGAAGACAAGGATGAAGGGCATGCTGTGATAAAAGCCCAAGATTGCTGAGAGAAGCGCCGCTCAGCTCTGCAGAATTCTGTCTGGCCGTGGGTGACAGCCCACCTTGACACCCTGTGTGGTCAATTTCTCTGGCCCATGGTTTCCTTTTACTCTATATAGTCTGCAGGGTTTACATCTGTCTATCTTACCATGAACAACGGGCTTGTTCTTTATAAGGAAAGTCGTGGGAATTAAAGGAAGGCAAGAAAATCTAGGCCTCAGTCAATGGGCAATGGAGAGCTGCCTATTTTTTACTTAACCATGTGCTTGAACTCTATGTCTCAGTTCAGTAAAAGATTTTATAGGTCATATTTTTAATTTCTCCTTTGAAAATTAGTGTAAATAGAATATTTTAAATCACATTTTAACTTGGGTTGATGGTATTTTTGCTAGTTTTTCCTTAGAAGTATGTAATCTGAATACAAGAAAAAGAACAAGTCTATAGGTTATCAATATTTATCAAAATGAGACATACCGAAAAGTACCTGTTAATTAAGAAAAACAATAGCTAGCATTTAAATAACACTTTAAGGTCTACAAAGCACTTTACAAAGTATCTCATTTTGTCCTCACAAAATCTAATCATAGATGCTATTATTATCCCTATTTTAAAGATGAGGAAATTGAGAAATTAAGTGATTAGCCCAAGGTCCCACAGCTAGGAAGTGCCTGAGGCCAAATTTTAACTTAGGTCTTCCAGACTCTTGGTCCAATCTCTGTCTACTGTGCAGTGATAGCTGTTCCAACCAACTCCCTCTAATGGATTAAAATGGTCTCAAATTACATATAATAATAGCTTAATAATGTAACAGAGACTCTTACCACTCAAGTTTCTACTGTTTATTCTAAAGTTTAGAGGTGCAAAAGGTTTGGAGGACACGATTCTGCCACCTGAAACACAAAGATAAATCATTATCACATCAAGTCACAAAATACAATGGGAATGACAGTTGGAAGAAGAGAAAAAAAGAATCGTTGATGAGATACTCAGGTATTCAACAAGACACAGGATGGCAAAATTCTAAAACCTTATTTCTAAAAATTCAAGTTACACTGAACACCACCACTTCCAAAGCCACACCCACATTACCACATTCTCCATTCTGCAATGGGCAGGATGGGATTCAGAGAGATCAAGAAGAGAAATGCAGTTTGATAGGGGCTGGTTGGCTACCACCCACCCTTTCAAACACCCTGGTATTCAAGCCATAAAATACAGGCTCTGGAAAAGCCTCAAAAACTCACACTCAGGATACAAGCATGACTTCTAGTGAGGGTTACAAAAAACCGCAGATACACAGGATAAAAGGCAGCTTACAGAGGGGCTGCCTGCCAAAGCAATTTGGCAAAGTCATCTTCTGCTGCCATTTCACCTCTTACTGCAGTACATAACAATTGTGTTTAGGGACCTCAGGATACACGCTAACCCTGTCAGCCACCACGTCAATGTGGAGTCAAAACTTGAGCTGAGACCAAGCCTGGGCAAACAGAGGAAAGGTCATATCCCGTCAACCATGAAGAAGCCGGACCATTTGCTTCCAATGGAAAGAAATACCCAAAGATTTTACTGATAAGTTGTATATCCTTTTATTTTTTCTTTTTGGTAAGGCAATTGGGGTTAAGTACTTGCCCAGGGTCACATGGCTACTAAGTGTCAAGTGTCTGAGGCTGGATTTGTACTCAAGTGCTCCTGACTCCAAAGCTGGGGCTCTATCCACTGAACTACCTAGCTGCCCCTAATAAGTTGTGTGTCTTTAATGTGGATGTCAAGGATGACCACAATTACCTCTCCTTGGTTCCCCCAGGGATAGAATACTGGACAAGAGACAGGAACAGTCACAAGGAGAAAGAACCATAATAGCTTTTATAGCTTTAAAAGCTATGTAGTTTTTGCTACAGAGCAAATAAGTGGAAAAGTCTGGTACTGGGAACTGGATGGAAAAGGGGATTTGGGACATCTGATGTACTGCGGTTACGTTTATATTAGGTTATTAGGGGAATTCTTTAATGAGGGGCGAACTAAAGTTTCATGCTCCTGAAAATTCCACTCCTCATGGCCAAGGTGTAAGAAACTAGCTTGAAAAAGGGTATAGAGCAGGAAAAAAAGAGATCATATGCAGACTAAGTAGAGCTTCTCCACCAATTTCTATACAATTTCCCCTCTTACTAAGGAGAAGGAAGAAAAAACTCAACAGAATTTGATTTACTTTGTACAAAAAGAAAACTTGGGCCAAAACACACCTATTTCCCAAAGAAATTTATACTTCAGGTTTGTAAACTCTACATGAGTACAAAGAAAAATGGTAGGTTCTAGTAAGAACCAGCATATAAATGGTCCCAACCAACTGTCACTTGTCAGCAAAGAGCCAAAAGGTAGGGCAAAGGTGATGGCTACTACTCTGCAGAGAGCAGAGTTCAAATGAAAGTCAATAAAAAACACCCTCTGTGAGCTGTGACTGTGGAGGGAAATAGAAAGGGAGTGGATAGGTGATCTCACTGATGCCAATCTACCTAGCTCAGGGCTGCCAGCACATTTAAGAGGCAGGATTTGAATGTGGGCCTTCTAGCTCTCTTAGCACTACTCCCACCACAATGACTGTTAGTAGACATGCTATTCACCACCTCTGGACCCACCCTGAGGAGTAGGAGAAGAGAGAGAAATGGGAATGGGGAACAAATTGCACTTATTTAATCCAACAGTGCTCTCTCCTCTACAATCCACATGATTTTAACACATTTCACAACAGATGAAATGTAGCCCATAAACAGTCATAAAGACCCAGCTTTTATGACCTATCCTCCAACCCTAGAGAGGGACCCAGGCCTCTCTAACTGGGCTTCCACTGGTCCAGGTGGGAGACATTAGGCTGGACCAGGCAGTATCTCGAGGACCTTCTAACTCTGATTATCAGATGGATACTGTGTTTCCCCTTTTGAATGGAGTCTGACCCAAATATAGGGCCCATGGATATAGAGCAAGAAGGAATACTGTCAGTCCTCTAGTTCCAAGTGCCTCATTTTCTAGCTAGGACATGCTGAATGTCCAAAAGCAAAGCTGGGGTTCATACCGAGGTCCATCGACTCTAAGTATTGCACTGCTGCCAGGAATGTACATAATCACTAGGTTCAGGTCAACAAGATTACTTTGGACTTGTTCAGGATCCAGAGCTCTCTTTCAAAGGAGATGAGGTCTTGAAGACTCCACTGAGTTCTGATTTCAGAAGGGCCAGGGAATGACATTGGAGTATTCAAAAGAATACTCCATTTAAGTTACCAGTGACTGCCACGAGTGGTGTTCAAAAACAGCACAGATTATACAGAAGGGAATCTTTCTTGGGTTACTGAAGATTAGTAGTAAGCCTCTAATGTTTACGGTAAGCCCCAATCAATTCTAAGGGATCCATAATACTTCCACAAGGGTCCAAAGATCCCTCAAATCCTAGGGATGAGCTTTCTACCAATTTAAGAGTCTGCGATAAATATTTTGGAAGACATGTAAGGTAATTCTGATCATTTAAAAAAAAAGCTCTTTTCTTGTAATGCTAGAAGTTAAGAACTCCATACTGACCGCCAAAAGACACTTAGAAAACTAAGTGTTTTTAAACTACACTCCTAATAAAGTATTAACTTTTTTTTGTTTGTTTTTTAGGCCATTGGGGTTAAGTGACTTGCCCAGGGCCTAGTAAGTGTGAAGTGTTTGGTCTGAGGCTGGATTTGAACTCAGGTCCTCCTGACTTCAGGGCCGGTGCTCTATCCACTGCGCCACCAAGCTGCCCCCCTAAAGTATTAACTTTTAAGCATAACCCAATATTTATGATGTTTAATGACATAATGAATTTAGCCAAGCTATTTATGGAAGATACACCAACTTAATTGAAAAAGCACCTTCATAAGGTATTTTTAGTGATACAATAGCCATAACAATGCCCAAAAGACAAAGGCTTTAAAAATACACTAAGAGGCTCTATGTTCCTTACCATATAAGAAGCAATCACCCCTTCCCAGGCCTAGGACCTTGTTTGGTTTGGTTTTGAGAAATGGGTTGGGGAGGAGGGGTGCATCAAGGGGGAGAGCAGGAAGAGAATCTGGGTGAAAGAAAAGGCCTTACTTACCTTCCTTCATGTTAGCAAATCGCTCCTTCAGTTGGTGATCCACCTCAGGACCAAAGGCAAAATTATTCACAAAAATAACACTGCAAGACAATACTCCAGTTAGAAGAATAAAAAGTAAAATTCTTCCTTAAAGCCTCTCAAATGTCCATCTCTCATTCCTATAAACAATGCTTGCATATTTAACATCTTTTGAAAAAGGAACCATTGAAAAATGTTTTGAGATTAGAATTTAGGAAGCAGCCTGTTCCCCAGATGCGGCCATTTTCATGGAGCCAGTCCAGTTTCTTAAACACTGGTCAAATAAAGGTTACTGCAGGGATAGGTAGCGGCATCAGAACTTAACTTCTGCAAATGCAGACAACCATGGCATGGCAGCATTATCTGTTCAGACCCCAGGAATAAACATTTCAAACAACACTGCCAAGGGTCACCCCCACTAAGGCTCCTTGAATATCTCACAAGACTCTTCCAAAAGGGGTTTCAAGGTAACCTATACACTAAACTGGCATCAACTTAACAGGCAGTATTTTCAGATTATAAACAAGCCAACCTCTCTACCAGTAAACCAGAAGAAAAAAAGTTAAAATATATGATTAGTAAGACTAATTTAAACTATCATCAATTGCTCAAGAATAATTTCAACCATATATACTGATCAATGAAAACTGGGGAAAGGGGTGCAGGGGAGAAACGACAGCTCTGCTCACAAGCGAAAAGGTGGAACACTCTCTCATCTAACAAACCCCATAAGAGCCTCAGATGGCTGGGAGTCTGCAAAGGAAGTGTTTTTTGAAGGTTGTAAAAGGGGAAAATGACATTTTTTACAAGTGCACAGCCTTTTCCAAATCCTTGTAGTTTTGCATTTAGAACTTAAAATACTTCAGTATAAAGTATATTTTCAGTCCTGGAAGTACTATACCAAAAGATGCACTGCTCCTGGCATCACTGCTTTCCCCTGCCTCTCCCATCCTGTATGTATCCAACAAACTATAATGTCTAGAGTCCTTTCTTTCAAATCTTGATGTTATGTTAATCAAAAGAAGGTCCCACAAGGCAGACCAGTCTCCCCAACAAACCCAAGGTATCAATAACCAGGATCATGAGCTGTGATGAGCAAACAGAACAATAATAAAGAACGAGAGAAAAGGAAGGAAAGAAAACCAAGTCAGCAAAGAACAAAGAGGACTGTTCTGAAGATCGGGTATAGTAAACGACAGAGCCAAAAAAACCATCCTCCCACCTCCAACCACCACCACCACCACCACCACCACCGCCGCCACCCCCTTCCCCTTCATGTGACAAATGCAAAGAAGAGGCAGGACAAGAAATGGTCATATTTTACACAGGAATGAAGGCCAGCAATGACATCAGGGTGATGGATGATTTGGAAAGGACACACAATATCTAATAGCATTTCCAAAGGGGAATTGTATCCTATGGGAATACTGTGAATTGCAAACTTTAGAAATTCAGCCCATCCAGTGGTCTCCTTGGTTAATTACCAAATGGCTTTTCCCAGAGCACACCTTCTCACTTAACTCGATCCTGCAGGACTCTCAGGGCCAGATTCTGCCCTCTGCCAACTACTCAGCGTCCATTCTGTGGCTTGGTCTTATCACAGGATTATGGCATGGCTGGCATGGTAGAGGAGGAGCTTGAGAAGTTCAAGGTATTAAAGGTGCTGGGAACCTGAAAGCCAGGAGATATCTTCAGGAACAAGTATTCACGGGGGGCTGCTGTATACAGGCAGACTCTAAAAACCCCACATTTCCTCATCTGTGAGTGGTAGATTAAAAATATGCTCATCCTTTGAATAAAACAGAGGATAGTACTCACAGAATTAAGCTGATGACCACTGTCAAAAGTCATCTTAAACCAAGTCTCTGTACAGGGCCACTACGTTTTGACTGGTCAGCTTTTTATTTTGGTTCTGTCATGTGGTGGGGAAGAAGGGAGATCACTGGGTGCACAACACAGAGGAAGATCTGGCCCAGGACTCCAGAGCTGTTGAAACAAGTCATTGTCATGGAAAGCACCGGTCATGTGCAAAACAGAGGACTGCTCCCCAGTGCGGAATAACGAGCAAAAGAGAGAGAGCTGCAAGCAAGACTGAATACAACCAGATGGTGATGGGATCACAGAGCAATCTGGCAACGTCAGTAGCTTCTGTACACCCAGTTCCAGTTGCCCTGATGGTTTTCCCCTAGGCTTTTCCAGCCTTTTGATGACAGTTGAGTACAGAAATCAAAGGGGTCCAAAATATAAAGTTCTCAATAGTCCAAGGATTGGCAAGTCATTCTCTACCAATGGAAAAAAAAATGTATTCAAAACCCCAAACTGTTAACAACAGGAGTATGCAACACCTAACAGTAATTACAACTCTTGGTAGCAAAAGCAAAGAGCCGCTAGACACACTAGGGCACAACTTTATAAAGATCCGATTCAGATCGTGTACAGTAGCCACAGAATTGTGGCTCCTTTTGCTTTATTCAGCGGTAAACAGGATAAAAGCATTTGGTCAAGGCAGAAGAGCTGGCCACAGTGTGTTCAGAGAGGCACACAGATGGGACGGGAGACACTTAAAAGGCCTGGAAATGAGAAGCATCTTCACTGAGAAGTACCAGTGGCCTGCAGCAAGAGTCAGCTGACCCATCCCACTCTTACCCTGGTGTCAGGTTAGTAAATATGTGCTTGGAATGACACCTCTCAGAGGTGGACAACCCCAGCCTAATAGGATAAGTACTTTAAAAACAAAACTGAAAATAGCTGCTTTATTGTGATAATGATTCCCTGCCAATGACGGAAGCAGACAGGAGGGAAGGTGAGCCCATGAGCAAGTGCTCACATCCCAGAGAAAAGGGTGCTTTTAAAAAAAAGGTCAGGAGACAAGGGACTCTCTCCTCCAAACGCACCCATTTGTCTTATCAGGCACTTACTTCAACCCTGCCCAAGGAGGCAGGACAAAAATTATACCATGTTCCTAGATGGCCAGACCGGGATCCCTGAGAAGTGACCGGCCCGTGATTCCCCAAGAGTCACAAGGGTCAGGGCCAGGGTGGAAATAGAGGCATCTCGATCTCAAGTGTGAGACTCTAATCATTACATTGCCTTTGAAGGAGACAGATTTTTTTCTTTATGTTTGCTTACGCCACAAAATAAATTAAGGGAAAGAAATAACATACAATATGATTTGTCCAAATAAGAAAAAAGATCACATGCCAGGAAATAATATTCTATATCCAGCCGATATTTTTCCTTGGGAAAGGTTCTTGAGAGTTGAGAGATAGGATTCTAAACAAGAGTTTCAAATAACTTCCATTTCTTCAAATAAGAAAATAAATACTTCTATGTATTGGGAATTTGTTTTACTAGGATGATATTATTTTTCCTGAATAGATAAACCTAAATTCCCATGTAAAATGTCAACCTTCAGAGAGTTCCCAGAATTTGCTCATGCCATAAGACTAAACTCTTAAATACTGAGGAAGATACTAACAAAGTACGTGTCAATATCCCAGTGATGCCACGGGATGGATTAATCACCAGAGCACAAAGAGAAAGTACAATGCCCACACCTGTAGTCCCCTGCCTCTCTGCTGCCTTTTTCTACATTTTCTTCCACCTTGTAATATGCGCTTTAGTAACCCTGAGTTTTAATAGCTACCGTGCTACTTCCAACAAAATCTAGTTCTCAGTAACGTGAAAATGTGAACAATGTCAAGCAGGTAGGAATAGAATGGGAACCTTTTTAGACCTGGTACTGAGATTATTTCATTTTACAGAAATAACTTGGAAGAACAGGTACATATATGCCAAATACATCGTGATATAAACTGATAAGTATCATAACTGATATCAATAAGACTTTTTTAAAACATGGCAAATGTGTAAATTTATTTTCTTTCATTATACACATTTGTCAAAGGGGTGTGTTTTTCTTTTCTACTGGGGGAGATGGTATGGAAAAAGGTGAATTTCTTTTATTTTTTTTTAAAAGGGTAAAATTTAATTTAAAAATACAGGATAATGTGCTCATGTGGCAAAACACATAGGATTTAGAAGAGAAAAATCACCTTAAATCATCTCATACAGTGGTTCTCAAAGTATGATTCTGGGGGTCTAGGGCTTGGAACTATTTTCACACAAACGTTTCAGTTTCCAACTCTGTAAATATCAATAGATTATGACATAATCTATTGTTATGTTTATGATACAAACAAAAGCTCTCTGCAGAGCTCAGGCCCTGAGATGATAAAATCTGAAAATGCTCATAAATCTAGTCAATATTCAACCCTCTCCCTTCAGAAGGAGCACACTGAGACCCCAAAACATAAAGCTGGCAAGGTAAACGTGAGATTTGTGTTCAAATCATATGCCTAAGTTACAACACACTGACTTCAAAATGAAATGTCCACGAGAAGATGAAATTCAATGTAAAATACAAAACACAAAGAAAATTTTCAGCAAAAGGCCACAAGCTAAAAGCACAGGAAACAAAAGCTCAGGGTCCAGGATATATTCCCCCAAATGGATATGAATCAGAAGGCAGTGTTATTAAGACATGCAGTCATGGAACAGGAGGGGTTAAGTTGTTTAAAGTATAGCTAGAGAAAGCCCACTGTCCTAACAAGAGGTACCTCTGGCACTGACCCCATGGACCTACACCCTAATTCTCTTATCCTTTTACTCCATGGGGATCCTAGGGTCTGTTCTGGTTTTCAAAAGGGGGGTGAGGGGAAGAGACACAAAATCCCCAAAGGAAACAGTAAAAATGATTAAGGGAATGGAAAAAATGGCCACTATAAACAAAAAGAATGAAAGTCACGTAAAAGCAGCTTAAGCTAAAGGTAAAGGCTACGATAGATTCTGACTTGCTGCTGCCCTCTTTGGCAGCACAAAGTGGATTTAAACGGCAAAGCAAAACTTAGGTAAAATTGGAGAAATAACTTCCCTGCTGTGAGTGTGATTGACCAATGGACCATAATGCTGAATGGGCCACCCCTGGAGACCCTGGAAAGCTTTCTCCTCTGGTTCTGCACAGGAACACAGGGAACAAGTCCATGGCTTCTGGAAGGGATTTCAGAATCACTCAATGCAAGGAGCCTTCATCAATGCACATGAGTTACCAGGGCAGGCTTGGCCCTCTAGAAGATTCTAGTCCAGTTTTCAAAAATAGAGACGCGAAGTCATTTCTAGCATGAATAATCAATGATGGGATCATCAGCCTCAAGAGCCAAAGGACTGACTCACTCGGTCAAAGACGGCCTGGCCCACCTCCACACATGACGAGGATCCCTCAGCCACATGAATAAAAGCACTGACTCATTCCAAGGCAGAGACTTCTCCAAAGTGCCACTATCTCTCCCTCTCCACCCCCTACCCCAAAAAGAACGTGATCTTCTCCTAATTCGCCTTTGAAATGGCCAGGACAAAAAGCTACGTATCCATAAGGAATCTAGTCTTTCTACCAGCATGGAAGGAATTCACTAAGAAGAAAGCCAAAGTACAATTATCAGTCATAACGACCTTCCATCAAAAGCAAGCCCCCAATGAGGACAGAGACCCACAAGATTTCCTAAGTAGCTAAGAGATTTAAACTATTTTCAGAACTAGTCATACCTTGTGTTTGCAATTCTTTCCCGCCATTCTTCTGAAAGGAAGTCACCTCTTTCCAGCTAAAGGAAAAGCAAAGGAAGAAAAACATTATTTCTTGCTACACATCCTCACTCCCAACAATAATTAATTAAGGCCTAATCAAACCCTTTAAGTGACAACTATCATATACCCAATGTGTGGTAGGTGCCTCTTCTATGCAACTTAAAAATGTTGTTGTATACAAGGAAAAACAAAGTCAAAAATTAAGGACTATAATAAAGCATAAAAGTATATACTTTTCCCAAACAATCATTGAACCTGATGGCCTATAATACAAAGATCATGTGAAAGCAGATTTAAAATTCCATTTATAGTAAAAACTGAAAATATTAGGAAGTATTTTTCTTTAAAATCCTTTCCAGACTGTTGCAAAAAGCCCATTGGAAAGCTGGATTACAGAAGTGATAAACTAAATCTTTCTTCACATCACACCTTCCGCTCTATGACGCCAGGGATATCACAGGCTGGGACCCACTCTACTCCATAAGAAATTAAGTTCAATCCTGAAGTGCATGGGAGATTCCAGAAAGAATGGCATATTGACTTGGTTGCTTAATTCTAGCACGTTAAAATATCTTTTTTGTTGTTAAGAGTCATAAAAGTATTTCCTTAAATTGTCACGGGGCAGTAAAGTCTCTGGGAGACATGAGTGACAATATCAGTTTGGACATCTCTCTCCAAGCTAAAAATGACTTTAACGTGGACTAATGATAAATTAAATAAAATTGTCTCTGGCTGCCTTGAGCCTAAATACCACAGTATGGTATTAGTACTGACATTTTAGGCTTATGATGTGTTTTAACGATAAGATGACTCCCATTAATGTTTTAAAAGTAATGGAGTGACTAACTCACAAAAACTCTTCCAAGGCATAATTAAGCTTAGTGAGTCTGGATCTCAAATCTATGTTGAATGATGTCAGTCAGGGCAGCCAAGTGGCACAGTGGGTAGAGCACTGGCCCTGGAGTCAGGAGGACTCCGAGTTCAAATCTGGCCTCAGACACTTGACACTCACGAGCTGTGTGACCCTGGGCAAGTCACTTAACCCCACTGCCTAAAAAAAAACAAAAAAAAACTAAAAGGATCATTCCCAGAAGAAATTGAAATTAATTTAAAAAAACTTTTTTAAAAAAGAAAAGATGTTAGTCACAGGTCAAAGATTCCTCACTAACTCAGTTGCAGACCTACACTGCAACAAGGTCCTCCAACTGCTTTTCTCATCTACCTCTCCAGAGGACATCACTGCCCAGGTCAATAATAGTCAGTAGCTCCCCTTGGCCTCCAGGATGATGCACATACACCTTGGCACTGAAACTTGTTCACCATCTGGTCCTGGCCTAGATTTCCAAAACTTATTTCCCATTACACCACTTCACCAAAACACTGCTACTAAAGCTTAGCTAATACACCATTTCCTATAAAGATCTTTTTTGATTCCATCCAATAGTTAGGTCTCTGTCCTGATGTCTCACCTGACATATGGAGACACAGGACATGTGCTCCTTTCTCTCCTAAAGCTCTTAGAAAGCTCCAGCTCTTTCAGAATTTTACCACCTTCTCTTTGAAGCCTTTCCTGATCTGCCCTGCTACATTCCCGTTTTGACCCTGTATGTTCTTATTTACGTAAATGTTGTCTCCCCAGCAGCATGTAACCTCATGAGGGCAGACACTGTGGACTCAAGAAGTTTACAGACACTCAGCAGTGCCTACTAAGCATCCGGCTCTGAGGATCCAACAAAAGGCAAAGGACCCAGTCCTCCCTCTCAGTGAGCTCGCAGGCTACTACTACCAGGGCCTAGGAAAGAGCCTGACATGGAGCAGATGCTGGTGGATCATCTATCTCCTAGACAGATGGCATGGTGGGGGCTAAAGTTAGAACCAGGAAAGCCTGAGGTGGAATCCTCTCCCTCCCTGGCAGTGTTACACCCAGGGAACCAACTAACCTCTCTCGGCCTTGATTCCCTAACAAATGAAATAGGGATGAAAAGAGCATCTACCTCACAGGAATATAATGAAGCTCAATGAAATTTCCCAAAAGGCTTTGCAAACCAAAGAACATTCTACAAATCTGAGTTATTACTATTGTAATTATTATAGATACAGAGAGGAAGTATGGCACAGCGGGGAAGAGTGCTAGAACTGGAGTCGGAAAGACCCGAGTTCAAATCCAGACACAAGATTTACTAGCTGTGTTACTTTTCTGAGCCTCAGTTTCTTCACTTGCAAAATGAGGGCTAAATGGCTAAATCTAGGCACATAGGAGATATTTAATAAATGCTTTTGAATTGGGATTTTTTTTTGCAAATGTGACAAATACCTAATTCTACTGATGTGCAGAGAAAGCAACTGCGGAGAACAGATCCAAGGATTTAAACCAAAAAATCATCTTACCAGTGAAGAAACCAAGACTCAGGAAAGTGAAGGGTCCTATCAAAGAACACACAGATCTCAGTCAAGGGTTGAGCTTAGACCTCCTCCACCTGAATCTAAAATCTAAACATGTTTTCAACTGCTCCTTTGAATATTGGAGCTGGCAGTCGACAATAAAAATAAATGAGGCAGCTTTTAGATATCGTACTTCTCCGTTAATACATTCATATCTGGATTCAAGTTCCAACCTTACTGCTTACAGTTCAGCACCATGACATGCTCTTATCATATCAGAAGAATGATTACATCAGTTTCTATCAAGATCATTTCTAAAGGCATTTCTAACCATGCTGCTGCTAATGATTAATTTTGTCACAAGCACAAGCTCTTTTCCAGCAAAATCCTTGTCATACCCCAAAATGTCACCCAAAACAAAAGTTAAAACAAAATATTCCTCTTTTCCTGTCACTAATGTAAGAGACAGGGCTTCTACCTTGAACTGTAGTAGTATCTACTTCATTACACTGAAATGCTTTAAGAAACTGCCATTATCAATATACTAATTCTGTGTCCCTGCTACTTTGAATTTCCCATTAAGTTTCCTAACCCCAAAACAGCAATAAGCCTGGGTATGAAGAAATTAATTATAATGGAAAAAAAGTAGAAATCATGAAGTTTTACCCCACACTCTGCAACTGCACAGATGATTTAAAAAATGGTAATAGTGTTGGAGGGGTTGTGGAATGATAGACATACTAATACATTGTTGGTAGAGCTATGAAATGGTAAGAAACAATTCTGAAAGGAAGGCAAACTGTGCAAATAAAATGAGCAAAATATCCATACTCTGTGGATCAGAGACTCCATTACTAACTAGGCTTATACCTAAAGAAGCTATTGATAAGAAAGCCCCCAAATACAATAAAATATTTATAGTGACACTTTTTGTGATAGCAAAGAATTAGAAACAGAAACAAGAGGATGCCGATCTACTGGAGAATGGCAAAAGAAAATGTGGTACATGAATGTAACGGAATATTAATGTGCAGTAAGAAATAATATGTGTGATGAATAAGGAAGCAAGGAAGGATCGATATCTGAGAAGAATCTGAGAAGTAAACAGAGCCAAGAAAACAATATATCATGAATAGAACAATGTAAATGGAAAGAACAAAAACACATTTTTAAAAAGAGTGAATTTAACAAAAGCATAAAGATCAAGCATGACAAAAATGAAAAGACATCTCTGCGCCCAACCCCCCCCCCCCTTTAGGGAGATGGAAAGTCCACAGGGGGTCACACAGTGCACACATTTTTGGATATTTTCAATGTACTGATTAATTGGACTGACTTTTTTTCTCCATAAAGAAAAAAAATATATACACATACACACATTGCTTGTTATATGGACAGCTTTCTGAAAGGAAGAGGAAGAAGGATATTGGAGAAAACTATGATGATGTAAGAAACAGAAAACATCACTAAAAACTTATTTTTAAAAATTAGCAAGATAGCATCATGACTTTCTTGGAGCCGAAAGAGAGAGAAAGAGAGAAAGAGAGAGAGAATGAATGAATATTCCCAACTTTGTATAATAATAAAGAAACAACTTGAAAGAAAAAAAAGGATTTTAAATGGAGATGATTATGCTGAGTGTTTCTTTTATTTTTCAGGCCCTCACCCCACCCCCATGGGACATAAAGCAATGTAACTCAATAAATGTCAAATCATATATAATGCATATGTGTATGTATATACACACACATACATGTATACACACATGCATGCATGGGTACATACATATTAAAAAAGATACCCCTGTGACCTAGGTAAAAAGAGTCATCTAATTCAAAACATACACTGCACCCATGCTTAAATTCTTAGGAAAGAAAACAATCAACCAACTCTAAGAGATGTCTTTGAAATGGATCAGAAAAGGGTCTCCCCAACTCCTTCCCTAGAACACGGATGAGCACTCTGGATTTTCCAGAAACAAGCAGCTGTACGGTGCAGGGAGCAGCAGCAGACAAGGAGTCAAGAAGTCTGAACCCAGCCACAGACACTTCCAGCTGTGTGATCCCTGGCAAGTCCCTAACCCTCTCAGGAATTTGGTTTCCTCATCTGTCAAATGGGAATAACTGGGATTGTTGTGATGATCAAATAAATATGTGTAAAGTGCTTTGCAACCCTTAAAGATACAAATGCTATTATTATCTAAATTTAGCTTATTTGAAGGAATAGACAGTCTTTCTTTGCATAATTCCAAATGCTTTGCACAATGGTTAACTAAGCCCATTCAAAGTTTCATCAACCTCACATTAGCATGCCTGTCTTTCCACAGATTCTACAATATTAATTTCTACCTTCTGTAACCTCTGCGAATCTGCATGGCCAGAGTAACTGAATAACTATTCATGACTTGAACCAATCATTCTTCTTTTAAAAACTGTTTCTTCACATCCACCTACAACCAATTATTAAAAGGCAGCTGGTGAACACAAAGAAAACAGAAGCAATCGACATCACCATGATTTATCAACAAGCCACGCCACAATGAGCGTAGTGAGCTAGAGAGCTGATATAGTTCCGACGTCCTACCATTTGGATTCATAATAAGGAACTGACAAAAATGCCCATCCCCTCTGAGATA